GAAAAATAAGGCATGTAATACTCCCCAAGGATTTTAAAAGCAAGTTTAAACACAGAGCAGCATGTAATATATTTAAAATCCATGGTGATGCAGCCAGACAAGGTGAGAGGTCTTAAGACAAATTTGGGAATCTTAGAAGAGATTAAGAGTGATCCCCCTGCACCAAAGCCAGGCCTTTCATGGATCCACTCTGCTGTGAAACTATCCCATGATATCCTCATCCACATGCAAAAGAATGAAACTGGACCTTGAGCTTACATAATACACAAAAATCAATTCAAAATGGTTTGAAGACTTGAATGTTAAAAAAATGTTTACAATTGGGGCGCCTGGGTGGCTCAGTCAGTTAAGCATCCAACTATTGGTTTCAGCTCAGGACATGACCTCACAGTTCATGAGTTCTAGCCCCAAGTATGGTTCTGTGCTGACAGCACAGAGCCTGTTTGGGATCCTGTCTCCTCCCTCTTTCTGACCCTCCCCAACTCACATTCCCTCTCAAAAAAAGAAAAAAGAAAAAAGAAATGCCTACAGTTATTTGGGCCCTCACAGAATAAACTCCCAATCTCCTAAACGTACCTTTTTATGTCTAATTCAGAGACACAGAAATGTCTAATTCTGAAATAGAGTTGAAGAGGGATATGGAAATGTCAGCAACCCAGATATGTGAAAAGCATTGTAAAATCAAATTTAGAGAGTGACCAAAAGAAGCGAGAATTTCTGTGGTAAAGAATCTCCTTTTCCCCTACAACCTGGTAATCACATTACTGGGTATTTAACCAAATAATACAAAAACACTAATTCAAAAGGATACGTGCACTCCTATGTTTACTGCAGTATTTTTTGCAATAGCCAAACTATGGAAGCAGCCCACGTGTCCATCCACTGATGAATGGGTAAAGATGTGTGCATATATGTGTATGTGTGTGTGTATACATACATATATGCTTCGTGGGTTCAAGTCCTTCATTAGACTTTATGCTGACAGCATGTATACTGCTTGGAATTCTCTCTCCCTCTCTGTCCCTCCCCTGCTCATGCTCTCTCTCAAAATAAACATTTAAAAAAAAAAAAAAAAAAGAGGAATGAGTTCTTTCTCATGTCTGGAATGAGTCCACTGTAAGTTAGGACCAAGGAAACATATTAGGGAATATATTAGGAAAAGGCTCCTGCTGAGGCTGTAATGGCCCCAAGATCCTGTCACCTAAATTCAATCTGCTGGCCATCAGTTCATTAAGATGTGCCTATGCCAAGGCTCACCCACCCATTCTTCAAATTGCAGTTTATGAAACTAGGGTTTATCACCTTTCTTAGGTATGAAATATCAAGGAAAAGGAATTCTGTCTATCCTCACCAATCAGTAAAACTTTGGCATGAGTCATACGTACTAAATAGAAAGCGTAAAAGCTAATTCGGTAACAGGATGTGAAGGAAGCTAGTGAGAACCGTTAAGACTGGACTTCCCCTTCTCTGGGAAGTCCACTAGCCTTTATATAGAATCCTTAAAACTCTGTAAACCAAAACAAAGTATTTGTCCCAAAGTTACTCAAAAGTTGAATTTAAATTGAGCAATTTAACAAAATTCAGTTTTTGGACTTAACTTCTTTAGAATGTATCTTGAATTTTGTCTTTTTGGGAGGAAGAGGGTATAGGAACATCTATGTGTTTATAATAGCATGTCTATTAAGAGTACAAGAGTTACAGTACTTAACCAATTTCACTCAGAAAACTTAACAATTTGGTCTTCACATTGCCTATATGGGTTAGATGCTGCTTTAACTGCTAATGACTTCCTCGTCAGCAAATACTCCATTTGGCTCATTTAACACTTGACTCAGCTAACAAAACGCATGTGCCCCAAATTTCCTTTGGGTGTACCCTGCACAGTTGCGCCCAACAGTGACAGCAGCATGCAGTGTAATTGCTGAGCACTCAGAAGTACCTTGATGGTTTCTCCACTGGAGAGTAATTTGCTTTACAAAGTGAGCCTGTGACACCCATGGAAGAGATTCTAGTCCCTTGTACAACCAGGCCATACTCCATCTAAAGCAACTCTATTTGTGTTTTTAAAAGTCTACTAACCCATTGGGTCTTGTGCCCCCAATCAGACTAGTGTGGTGATGGAAGCATCTATTTATTGACGGTCACAGCAAAAGCCCATCTCTGAAGTTAATAAGTCTTCTTAATTAAAAAAGCAGAACCAGAAATGGGACTGTTCATTGATCACAGCTAAGTCTATCAGAATGTTCTTTTCATTCTATCTTCTTTTGCACATGGATACATGAGAATATACCACATAGATACTTGAGAAGGAGAAGCATATAAAATGGCTGACCCTGTTATTCTAACATTCCAATTGTAACTTAGGCAAATATGGTATTTCTGATTCCTGACAGTTGTTAGAAAAAGAGACTCTGGTTATAACCAGCTTTTCTTTACAGTGAGTGCGTAAACAGTATAATTTCCCATGGGCTAAAATAAAGCGCTTGGATATCCAAAAGGAGTTATATAAGTATAATGGTCTAACTGCCCCACCCCACCCCTGCATCAAAAGGCAATACAATGTTTTTCCCGAGGATGGATAACCTAAAAAATAGCTATTTACAAAACAGTGAGAAAAATATTTGTAATCAGAACAATACTCAAAAATCTACAACTTAAAATCCTCATATAAGAACCGAAGAAGAGAACAAGCCACATACATTGCATCATCCAAATACCAGTGTATTCACATTAGAAGTACAGATGCTTAGTATCAAGTAATGACATTAGATACTGATGGAAGCCTTTCATATTCACTTCAAATTCAATCCTGTTTCATGTTTAGAAATAAACTAACACTGGGAGTGCCTGGGTGGTTCAGTTGGTTAAGCATCTAACTCTGGATTTCAACTCAGGTCATGATCTCATGGTTTCTGAGATCCAGCCCACACTGGGCTCTGTGCTGCCAACATGTAGTCTGCTTGGGATTCTGTCTCTCTCTCCCCCCACTTCTCACTCTCTCTCAAAATAAAAAAAAATTTTTTTTTAATTACACTGGAAATTTACCTTCAAAATGTAGAATGGAGGGGGAAATCTACATAAAATAGGCCATGATGACAGTCACCACTTTTTACTAAAAATGGTGGCCCAAACTAGGGCAAATCCACCTTATCATCAAGAAACGATTTTTTAAAATGTCTTATTCACTTTTGAGAGAGAGACAGACAGAGTGTGAATGGGGAAGGAGCAGAGAGAGAAGGAGACACAGAATCCAAAGCAGGCTCCAGGCTCTGAGTAGATCAGGCTCACAGCACAAATCCTAATGCGTGGCTCGAAATCCCGAGCCATCAGATCATGACCTGAGCTGAAGTCAGATGTTCAACTGACTGAGCCACCCAGGCACCCCTCAAGAAAGTATTTTAAAACTCACAGACTTGTCTACCTGACCGTTAGTTAAAATGCTAACCTATGAAATACAATATATAATGGCAGTTCTGTAACTTCAGGGAGGCTCAGTAACCATCTGAATGCCTGGAGAAAATGAGAGAAACTTCGAAAAACTATGTGACTTGTCCCCAAAAATATGCACGCAAGACTTCAAATACAGTAAAAGATTCATACATCTTCTGAAAGCCCAAAGTAAAGAAATCCAAGCTAGAAGGATGTTACCTGGTTACACAGTGACACACAAGTCAGGTAAAGTTCTAGGTTCTTCAATAAACATTCTGGGTTACTTTATACAAATTATCTTTAATAATGGCCATATATGAATTTCCCATAAGAATTCATCGGCATCCATAAAAGCCCTTGGAAATGTCAGGTTCAGCAAGAAGCACTATCCCAAAATGCTCTTTTCCTTACTCAAGCTTTTTAGTCATCACCAAGACTAAAGTTCCTAATATACGAAAAGATGAAGAATCCTAGACATGTGAGACAATCAAAACAGGGGTGTCATTAAATGCAAAAAGGCTTCCCACAGACTCTCATATCAGAATTGGAAATACTTTCTACAGTTAAATTAGAAATTACTTAAATTTTAACAACTTTAAATATCATATTACATAGCACATTAATATTTTATATGTTATCAGGGTTCAAAAGAAACATCCCGTGAAAACTGAAATAAATCTTTAAGAAGTCAATCTAACCAATTTACCTGAACTATCTATTTTAACAATCTCAATAGCTCAAGTTTACACGGCATTTCCTAAGTGGGTTTTGTGGACTCTCATTAAGACTTTATCTAACACTATGCTGTATTATTATTTAAAAAATGAGCTATACAGAAATTCAGACTGTTTAGTAAAAATGTTTTAACAAGTAGTTTTATAATAAAACTTGATAAAAGTTCAACTTATTAAATGTGTTAAGATTTTTTTAAACTCTGAAGTAGATATTGCATTACATGGTGGGAGGGAAAAACTCTCTCAAAACCCCTATCCAGGAAGAACAAGAAGGGCATCAAGATGTTCTAAGCAATTTCCTGAACAGGAGGAAATGAAAGGCTGAAGAGACCGAGTTTCTGATCAGTTTACTTTTTTTTGGTCTAAATAGACTTGCTCATTATTAACTGATGAAAGATAACACACATATGATATTAAAAACTAAAATCTAATGATTCTCCTGTCATGATTGTCAGTTAATACTCAAGTAGGAAAAAAGTTCATGTGGTTCCCTAGTTTTCTGGGGGGCATGGGGAGGATGGTGGAAATCTATCTGCTGGACCATTTCAGAACTGCGTAACTTTTATCTTACATTATTATCATCAATTGTAGGAAGTTGCTTTCCCAAGTTGACAACTATATCTTCCAAGACAGCACTATAACCAAATCCATGATGAGGAAAATTCATTTTCAGTTATAAAAGGGGTCATGTTTCTTTCTCATGTCCATAACTCATTTCAATGATTGTTTCAATCACATAAAAGTAGGAAATGTGCTGGGGGTCTGATTGGATTTTTTTTTTCTTCCAGTGAAGAACTAACAGACTACTTCTAAGTATAATTTAACTGAAAACACTACTTCAACTTCAAATTTATTTTAATGATATGTACAGGAGTTAACAAATTACAATTAAAACGGAATCAGTTATGTTACTTCCACATAACTTAAAATCATGCAACACTGCATGGTAAAAACAACAGCTTCATTCATATACAAAAAAGTATTTTTTGAGACTCGTGATAGTATATTGAATTTTTTGACATAAGCTTTCTGCAAAGAGCACTTTATAAAAATGTAAAGACCTGATTAATCAGTTAATGCATTATTAGGAAAGATAATAAACATATTATTAGTAAAGTGAGGTTACAGGCAATTAATTTTAAAATTACACAAGGTACAGGGTTGAATGTAGTCTCATGAAATAAATGGTTAAGAAAATAGTTCTGAAAAAGATCTCATATTGAAGCTATGTACTACTTTTGTCAAATCAGGTTATATAAATCAATAGTCAAGTTTCTTCAGTTAAAGAAAATACGCCTATCCTTTCTTATACTCATAAATAAGTACTTATTATATAGTCTTTATATACAAGTGAAGAAAAGTTCAATGTAAAAAATATACTGCCAATCCACTTATTATGGTTGAAATAGCTCTTTTTATCTACACATTAAATTGCATTGATGAAAATATCCAATTTAAATCACATTCAACCAGCATAAATATTTAAGCTGAGTACTGTTGTAAACAAGAGAGAAAAACAAATTCTTTTATTTCATCACTTGGGTAACACAATCTACTTCTCAGCTTAGAATGCTATAGAAAGGCCTAACATTTAATTTAATCAAATCCAAACCCCACTAAACTTAGAGTAAACAAAGTGAATGTTTTTCAAAGTGCATAATTTCCAACTCATCCACTTGTAATATTTATCCAATTCCAGTTCATCAGCAAGAAAATAAAACGTACTTGGCTATAAAAATACTAAGGAATGTTGTTGAAAAGGAAAGGCTATTTGGTAGAAGTAACTACAAAAATAATTAGTTTAAATCTTTGTAAAGCTTTAATGCAAGAACATCAGTACACTTTCTTTCCATAAACCTTAAAGCATGATCAATACCAAGATTTTAAATTTCCACCTTTCAAGTACTTGAAAAAGGTTGCAACAAAGTGTCTCTTCAAAAATTAAGCAAGAAGAATGATCATGCAGGTGTTAATCTGCTAACTTTTGGGGACACTGATATCTGTGTTGTGCTGTCATCTCCGGCTCCACTGGTAGCAAGTACAGGCAAGGAATCACTCTGAAATGTAGACGCAGGACAACTAGTCAAGCCAACGCTTTCATCTTCACCAGTGTCTGAATCTGGTGTTGCAACTTCACTGTCCTGAAGCCCCAGGATCTCACAAACCGCTTGTGGCAATTCCTGAAGATGCAAAATCAAACAACACCATCATTCATTATAGAGGAAAAGTAATGACAAAATAACACTTGGACTTAAGACTACACTTATTCCAGAATCTGAACAGTTATTTTAACAGTGTAATTGTTACATATCTTCTCACAGGCACCTTCTTCAAATGAAATCCTAACCAGTTTTTTCCTAAGTGGTTCCCTGATCTTTTATTCTGAATTAGTCACTCTCCACCCCACCCTGCCTCTCCCACAAATGTAAGTTTTCCAGTATTTACAATTTATTTCATTCTCATTATTATTATTATAGTATCTTAGATATTAACTGAGATCTTATTTACACTATCTTTTCCCTTAATACCCAAGGTTCCTTAAAGAAAGAAGTGTCTCACTCACATATTTTGAACAGAATAGCTACCAAATAAATGTTGGCAGAAAGTGAACCATAAGTATTTGGAACCATGAACAAATGACACAAAAACCAAAGAGGCACTCTCATAAAAACACAAAAGCCAAAATACATCAGAAGAGAATGACTCAGTTCAAATTCAGATCGTAACACATCAAATTTGCTTTGTTTTCAGAAATAACTGAGAGCTTCACTAATACAAAAGTAAAGACATTGACTGATACTATCCATTTAATCATTTCTGATTAGCATCTGTCTTTATTTGGGGATACCATATTTAATATGATTCCTAGTCTATATTCACTAATTCGACTGGATAATACATCAATCAATACTTCAATTCTACAGCCCCTTTAGTTGTTGCAGAAATGTTTTCATTATTTTTGCCATTTTGCTGCACTATGTTTCTTATCTAGCCTAATTAATCAACTATTTTCAATTAAATGCTGTAACTCCATAATGGTAAACAAAATGCTAGCCAATACTTGGTGTCTGCCTTCAATCTGCTAAGACTGCCTTTATCTTACTTCGATGAAGAAAAATTCTTTCTTGACCAAAGCCCACCAAAATCATACAAAAACCCCTTACAATTATTTAAAACACTGTATACCTTGCATTTTACCATCTGCAGAGAAATTGCTTCTGCCTTGCATAGTATATCTTCCACATCAATTTTCATGGACAATTCATTGATATGCTAAAATGAATCCATAAAATAAAATGATAATTGAAACTAAAAGCACTATATATTCTACTATATAAACAACTTATTACCAGTTATATTTCACTGCATATAAAATCTGTAAAATAAGAATATTCACATACTACAAATATGCAGGAGGTTCAATATATCTTTCCATTTTCAAGTTAAATAGCTAATAAACTTATGGAACATTAAATCCAACAGCTGTCCCAAGTCTACCATCTCAAAGTTATAAGCAAAAGACAATTAGTTTTTTTAGAAAACTGAACTACATTAAAAGAGCATTTGTTAAATTTCTCTTTCTCATTACCCAGGTAAAAAATAACTGGCCAGTATGTATTCAACAAACTGTCATTCTCAGAGAGTCAGTCCTAGTACCAAGGGTTACTGATGTAATTTAAGTTTTACTCAAGGGATTCAATAAAGCTCCAGGAAGTGTTTGTGTTATCAGTACCACCAAACAGAAGAAAGAGCCAAAATATTAAAATCTAAATTAAAGGAATAACTACCTTAAGTATTTCATTAAAGCCATAATGCTTTTCCATTATTTGCTGCTTTTCTGATTCCAGAATAGCACAACAGAGAAGAAGATGAAAATTTTTACATGGCAGTTCGGTCCACATTACCTATAAAAAATAGAACTATTTAGTAAACTGTATCAATTCTAAAATATTTTCCTCACAAAAACAATGCTGAACTCTAAATGACTTCTATGCAAAGCAGAGGGTACCTAGATTGGGGTCACTGATTTTCTAGTTAGGAAATGAGGAGTAGAGAAGTCTTAACCTTTACCTACATAATGACTAACATCAAGTTCAACACTATGTGAATATGATGAATTCCAAATGTGGCCCTTTAAGTAACTACAATTAGCAAATTGCTGACCCTAACCTATATGATGAATGGTACTAATTAAGAAGCTACATCCATGAGTTTAAGTTTAAGGGTTAGAGGCACTTTCAGTATTTCTCTGACCCTTCAGTTTCTCACTTTTAAATCATCTTCAGTCTTGCAGTTGGGGGTGGGGAGGGAGACCGGAGGTAGGAGCTAAATCCTGGATGGAAAAATTCAGTTAGATAGTGCATGAAATCAAAACCACCCATGAGAGCTCTACATTATATTACATAACACAGAGTGTCCCTGATTGTGACAAAAACTGAATCAACTACGCAAAATTTATACCCAAATGTATAAAACACTTCATCAATAGCTGCATGTCCTAACTAGAGATAATGACCTCAAATTTAAGGCCTTAATTGCCTCCTGTTAATGTACAGAATAATATCTTACCTGAAAAAACTAAAGACCCACACAAATAATACCTGAAATGTTTTTACTTCGTCAGGAGTAAGTCAAGTTGAGTAATTTTCAGAGTAAATCCCATTTTTGAAAGTTTAACTACAATGCAATTAACCTCAAAGTTTTCATTAGAAGTTCAATTTATTTGGTAAATAGATTGAGAATTATTCTAACTATATAGTAGTAACATTCTCAATCTTTTAAAAAAGAAGCTGAGACATTTATTTAATCAAACTGATAAACTTTAAAATATGATTCCATACAGAGAATAAACTGGTGGTTGTCAAAAGGAAAAAAAGGATGGGTGGATGGACAAATTAGGTGAAGGGGATTAAGAGGTACATAATTCCAGTACAACATAGGGAATATTAGTCAACAGTACTGATGTAAGCTTGTATGGTGACAGATGGTAACTATATCTATCATGGAGAGCATTTTGTGATGTATGTAAATGCTGAATTGCTATGCTGTACACTAAACTAATATAATACCATATGTCAATTATACTCTGATTTAAAAATAAAGAGGGGTGTTTGAGTGGCTCTGTTGGTTGAGTGTCCAACTCTTGATTTTGGCTCAGGTCATGGTCCCAGGGTTGTGGGACGGAGCCCCATCATGGGCTCCATACTGAGTGTGGAGCCTGCTTGAGATTCTCTTTCTCTGTCTTCCCCTCTGCTTCTCCCCACTGCTTGCACACTCCTTCTCTCTCAAATAAAATTTAAAAGTAACATAACCCCCTCCCCCAACAAACCAAAAAAACCCCACAAAACAAAGAAACAAACAAACAATAAGTACATTTTTGAAAAGTACAATGTTGCCAGCAACATACTTACTGGAAAATTAGACAACCCTCAAAAAATAAATTTTCATTAAATAGGATTCCAGGTAAAGAACAGGTGAGTTTTGCTTCTAATTTCAAACAGAGGAAGTTATCCTACACAAAGCAATGATCCTTCAGTGAGCATGTCACCTTCTCTAATGATAGTCAACTATAAAGGAACCAATTTCCAGCTATAAAAGCCTCAGAGGGCACAGGGATTCCACTATACATAAGTCTATTCATTATCCAAATGGATTATTTCCCCCATTCCTTCCTTAGGAGAGTTTCTGTAATCCTTAATCTTTATGAAGATAAGGTAGCAATTAGTCACTACACCAATATTCTATTTAAAAGCACAATGATCCGGGGGCGCCTGGGTGGCTTAGTCGGTTGAGCTTCCGACTTTCACTTAGGTCATGATCTCGCGGTTCGTGGGTTCAAGCTCCGCGTCAGGCTCTGTGCTGACTGCCAGCTCAGAGCCTGGAGCCTGTTTCAGTCTGTGATTCCCTCTCTCTCTGACCCTCCCCTGCTCATGCTGTCCTCTCTCTCTCTCTCCTAGAAATAAATAAAACATTAAAAAAAAAAAAAAAAGAAAAGCACAATGATTCGTTAACAATTAACAGAGATTTTCGAAGAATATAATAATTTTTTGTTTTTCATCAAGAGTTACCCTGGGTGCAAAATGAAATAAAAAGACATACACCAAAAACATGATCATGAATATCCTCTAGAGTTGGGGACAGGGAAATGAGACTCGGTGGAGATTAAAGAAAGATTTTAGTTAGAATTATTTTTCTTGGGGGAAAAAACCCCTAGAAGTAAATATGGAAAAATGTTTACATATGTTAAATATGGATAGTGGAAAGTTTGTTTTTAATCCACAATTATGTTCCATCTCCTCAACCCAAGTAATTAGCTAAGGTAATCAGGTCAGAGTTCAAGTTGACTACCAGTGATTAAATGTGACCTTTCCTATCTTTGGTGTGCACATACTGAAAATAAAGACCTTTTATCTCTTCTTGAGAGCGACTTGGCAAAATCTATCAACAGCCTTAGAAACTGGCTACTCTCTCATTTAGAGGTATCTTGAAATTTGTTCTAAGGACATACTTGGAGGTATCCATGAAAATTTGAATATTAAGATACTTGCCTTAGTGTTAAATATGATGTCATTGCAACACTGCTGGTGCAAACAAGCAAAATATATATCAGGTAGAAATTAAATGGTCGAACGGTCGTAGATTCAGAAGATGTTTGTTACATTATTAATATTTTTCTCTAACTTCAATTTCTTTAAAAAAGCGAAACACAAGTCAGCTCCCTTTCAATACTTCAGACTACAAACAAAGTGCTATCTAAACGGACTGGCCTGTCATGTCAAAACTTCTTGAACTCTATACAAACCTAGACCAGACCGTAGCAGAGTCTCACATAAAGTCAAGCCTCCCAAGGAAAGAACACAAATACAAATGGTCTAGAGGGAACCTGTTCTGTGAAACCTAGTGGCCCCAAAACCTCATGAGGATTGTGATTTATAGAAAAATGCTCCAAAGACCAGATATTCAATTCAAAATAAGAAAGTTTTAAGGAGAGACCACAAAAACCATCAGAATTTTATAACATACTTGCTTTAGAAATTTCAGTTAGACTACTATAATTCATCTATACTCTATGGAATAATAAAGTGTTTCTTTCCATAATAAATATTACATTTGTATAATAATTTAAGAACTTACCTCCCATAATCGAAGAATATCTAGAAAACTAAATTCCCTTTTAAATCTGATTAAAAGCCATCTGAAGCAAAAATAAAGGTATCCAGAGTCCTGAGATTCTACACAGAAGAAAAAAAAACATATGTACGGCTTACTCTTACATTAATTATCTCAGAATACAGTGACTTATTTCAAATTCAAATTTTTCTACACAGCTTCGGCTATTAAAGTCCTATAAATTTAAATGCCTTCTACTAATTCAAGGAAACAATTATTGACATTTGTATAAAAGAAATCCATAAAATAGCAATAATTCATTTTATGAATAAATTGCTTTAAAGCACGTTTGGCACCACACTTTTACTTCTCAGAGGAACTCAGGCAATAGCGTTAGAGTATATATGTATTTAAGACAGTTCTTTACATTTTTTTCTCTCTGTGTATCACCCTACAATTTGCTGGGTACATAATTTGATTACACTTACCTAAGTAACTGCAAAATCCACTGTCCAACAATCGAAGTAAGGTACTGAGCTGAATGAGCTGGGTCTTCATGCCTTGCATTTGTTCTTCAAAATTTTGATGCTTTAAAAGGAAATAAATGTTACCACATAAGTAATGCTGAATACATATTTTATAGTACAAAATCACTGATAGCTAAAGCAGGAGTCTAAGGACAAATGCTGGATTTATACCACACTGGTTATATTTTTTAAAAAATCACAACAAATTAAAAAGCTAAAGCAACATTAAAAAGGAGGGAAGAGAATCCTTGGAATCAATAAGGAATACTTTTCCTCTGTTCATTTGACTTAGATAAAGAAGAATGCAGACAGATACACTTATTTCTTACATCAAATAAGAAACTTGGTGAAAGAAATACACACTTGGGAAATATACTTTTATCAAATCACCTACACTGGTAAATATTTCTGCAAACTGTCATATAAAATAAAATTAATTTTAGCTTTAACATATACTTCATTTTAATGAATTACTTTATTTCTTAAATTTGATGACACTAGGGAATGTGTGAAGTCAAAATCATTTTCATGGCAATTCCAAAATATTATATGCATTTTGCACTTGAAATTCTTCCCCAAGTATAAAGGGGTATATGAGTAGTGACACAGGAGCAGATAAGAAAATCCAACTGTCTTCCATTAAACTAGACATTAAAGAAAATGGAAAAGAATCCTTCTTCTCAGGAAATTGTTTGGAAAAGTTACTTTTCATTAAAAAAGTGTTATAGATGTTAAGGTACAAAGATTTATTGTTATTTTTAAATAATGAATAAATACTTATATATTTCCCATTATTAATTTTTCATATGATAAACATCCAGATATATAACCCACAGACAAATGCTCTGAGAGACCTCAGTAATATTTAAGAGTGTGAAGGGGTCCTGAAATCACAAAGTTTGAGAACAGTTACGGTTTACATACTTTAAATATTAATCTCCAAAGTTGAGAAAATTCCCTACCAAAACTTAGTCAAGGGTTGGGAGGTGGGTGGTGAGACCAAAATAACTGGAAGGTGCCTCAGGTCATTCTGATCCCTTTTATCCATGTGCCCCAACTCCTCAATTGTAACCTACTGTCCCAATGCTTATAAAAATACCTAAGGACAACATCTCCTCTCTCACACTTCTTTTTTTAGTTTTGGAGACACAGCATTGCTCTTGGTTTAAAAAAATAAATTAATTAAGGCTACTGACTCTCAAAAACCTGATTTTTCTTTTATGCCTTAAAGAACTAGTTTACTAGATGGTCACAAGCCTTTGGGATACTGTTTCCTCTCCTTTACACACAGACCTGTAAGCCAAAGGCAAAATTAACTCTTTGGTTAACAGCATCATTTTTATTATGACAGCCAAAGGGTAGAGTTATTTTGGGAGTACCAACATGGCACACTCTGCTATAAAAAGAAGCACTCCCAAAATGATAGAAGACAACTTTGGAAGGGTAGTTACTCCTGGAGAAGGGAAAATTAGATCAACAATGGATATACAAATGGTTTCAATTGTATTGTACATAAATATGTGTGCATATACACATACACATGTATATTCATATACACATGCTCATATATATCCATGTATATGTATATATACACATGCGGTATATATGAGGAGGGAGGTGAGAAGGACGGGAAGAACTAAATTATATGACAAAACAAATGGGTGGGTAAGAAAGTTCATTAGCTCATTTTGCTAATCTTTCTATAACATTTCTAAAACAGACACAATCTATGTCTACACCTACATTAGATGGAAGTAAATATAACAAAAGTAAATCTATGGATACTAGGTTCAGTCATCACAAAAGAAATAAAAACTTACATGAAATAAAGCTGTAAAACAAGAAGAAGGAGTCAAATAGCAATCTAGATTTAAGGATACCAAACCAACAGCAATGCAATAAAAAATAATCATGCAGATTATTTTGATTGCAACATATTACCCTTTTATTCAAATATGAAAATGTTAGTAGACAATATATGAAGAGATTTTTTTTAGAATAAAGACTAGAAAAATCCCCAGACCAACCTCAATGGAAAAGGCAAACACAGAAACATTTACTATGAAAAAGAAGAAAGAATTTGAACCTTCATACACAAAAATGACAAATAGACCGTAAAGTGTAGATTACAGATGTTCAGAAAGAAGTCTTTACTTACATCTGAGGCCTAAATGCATGCACAAGTCTGTATGCACGCATGTATATAATGGAATCATAAGCCAATTGTTTGCACATGCCAGTATTGGCTCAATTTTATGAAAACTATTATTGTAAAAATCGAAATGCAGTCAGTATGCTCATGTGAATTCTTTTGGAATACTTACTATAAGTGTCTAAGCATTGGGGAAATATTCATGTGTTTATTCTACAAAAATCTGTTGCACAAAAACCTCATGTTGGCATTAGGAAAATTCTGGAAGCATACCAGAGAACTAGTTAAACAGAGACATGAGCCTTTTATCAAGGAACATACTAGCTCTAGTGAAAAGAGGATAAACAACAAAAACACAAGAAAGGAAGACAACAGTTTTTATACAATTAGTATCAGTTGTACAGACCTTTATAACAAATGCCTCAGGTTTCTAGAGCACTTGGGAGTAAATGGAACTAAGAAGGCAGGTAAAATCAAATCAATCAAATAGGTAAGGAAGACAAACTATGGTATTAGCAGATTACTGCAATTAATAATCGTTCCAAATAATCCAAAACATTAATTCCTGGTCATGACTATGTAATCTGAAATACTTATTAACTTAATAGTAAAAGATATTTTTAAATTATCAAGTCTTATCAAATAATCATTTGGAAAAGGAGAAGAAGAAGTGAGGATGAGTTGGAATCATGATAAGAAACTTGAAGAAATAGGTGTAAGTGGGAAAAATTGGAAAGGCAAAGAAAAATTGGCACGCTAATTCCCAAGACAGGAAGAATAGATGTAAGGAAGACAGAGAAGCGTACTACTTCTAAATTCCACATCTGTATCCTAGAAACTGAGTTAAACCCTATGTTACAGGGAAACATTTTAAATGATTATATATTTAAAACCTTTATCCGCTTGCAAGCAAGCCATTTGAATACCCAACAGCAAGGTCCAGTGGCAAGTGTATCAGTTTTACTCTGAAACAGTACAGTGACCTATGCAGTCAGGTCTTTGGATTTCATATGCCTTTATCTACTCTTAGCCCTCTTCTATTTTTTTTTTTTCTTTCTAATAGATTACTTGAGAAGCTGTTCTATTTTATTTCCCTGTTAATACTCTGTGCTATTGTCCCAGAATTCTGTCTCCAAGATATATCAGGGATAGTAGATAAAATGTTCTTTGTAATAATACGTATACATAAACATAGTTCAACTCTAACAATCACATGCTTCTGAGAAAAGAACAATGAATTACTAAGAAAGTGTCACCATTATAAATAGTTCAGAGATCTAGAAGAAAAATCAGTTACTCTAATAACAAAATCCAAAAATGTTCACAAAAAGTAAGGATATTACTTGGCATGACTAAGCTTTATCTCTGAAACAGCTGATATGAAGTTCAACTACTTCACAAGAACTGAATTCATCTACTTCATCAATATTCTATAATGACTCATAGCCTTCTGCAGGACATAAGCATTTACTGATATTAAATCCTGATTATTTTTGTGTTACAGGCACTTACTGTCTACTTCTTGTATTAAAAACAATGTCAGTATTTTCAAGTCCTTTGAAAAGACTATTTAAAAAAGAAACAAACCAGGGCACCTAAGTGGTTCAGTCGGTTAAGCATCCAACTCCTGATTTCGGCTCAGGTCATGACCTCACAGTTTGGGGGTTTTTCTTTCGTGCACTGACAGTGCACAGCCCGCTTGGGATTTTCTGTCTCTTGTCTCCCTCTCCCTCTGTCCCTTCCCTGCTCTTGCTCTCAAAAATAAACATTTTTTAAAAAAACAAAGAAACAAACAACATGGAGCAATTTTTAAGTTCCACCATAACTGGCTAAATATAAACATCAATCTTATATAATAAGATTATACAACTCAATTTTTCAAAATTAGTTTGATTAAAGGAAGGAGCCCCCTGTTCTTACCATTTGGTCCATATAGGAAGCAAAGCACCAAAAGGCATCCACTTCATTTTCCATCACATATAAAAGAGGGGAAAGTAAGTCACTCATTCCCTGAACATACCCTAAGAATAGAAAAAAAAAACAAAAACAAAAAAACATGTCTCTGAAAACCTAAGATTTATGTAATCCTTCTGTGCATATCATTACAATTTCACCTAAAATTTCATTTTTTCTTTGATTTCAGAAACTGGTAGCTGTTGACATTTACCAAGAAAAGAAAATAAACAAGGAGGAGGTATAGCAATCAGGTAAAGAAAGATGAGTTGTCATAGACTGAGATGTCAAGCAGATATATAGCTGCTATTTTATATATACATATACCTATATATATACATATATTATATATATTTGTGTGTAAGACACAGATATATATCTGTGTCTTAGTGTGGACATCACTATCAAGAGAGGGTAGTATTATCAAAACTTAATGGGCAGGGGCACCTGAGTGGCTCAGCAGGTTAAGCATCCAACTTCGGCTCAGGTCATGGTTTCACGTTTTGAGCCCCGCGTCCAGCTCTGTGCTGACAGCTACGAGCCTGGAACCTGCTCTGGATTCTGTGACTCCCTCTCTCTCTGCCCCTCCCCTGCTCATGCTCTGTCTCTCTCTCTCTCTCAAAAAAAAAAAAAAAAAAATTAATGGGCAAAATTACTACGATTACTAAACCCAGAGGAACAGCAAGTATAAGAGTATATACCCATTTGAGAAGGACCAGTCGGAGATAAGTGAACAAAAAAAAAAATCAAAAGAAAAAAGTGTTGTAAAAGTCAAGTTGGGGGTAGGGGACGGGGAATTTCAGTGCCCAAGTAGTCAACAGCACCTAAAGGCCATGAACAAGCCAAATAAAATAAGAACTTTTAAAAAGGGCCCAACTGCTTTAGCCACAAGATCATTGGTAATCTAAACCAAAAGTTTAAACTTTTCTTCTAAATTACTTCTTTTAAATAGTCCTATCTATGTTCTTCTTGCCTTTCCTCTTGTTACTCTATGCACAACCAATGCTAACAACTGGGTTTAAACCATTCAACACCTGGTACCTGACACTTCTACTCTGACCTCCTTTCTCTGGATGTTGTTATAATTCTGTCATGACAAATACAGCCCTTGATTAAAAAGAAAAACTGTAAAGTTTAAGATACAGGCCCCTCACTTAAAAAGTCTTGGTTTTGCTTTTCAACTGAACATATCAAGCTTACTTTTTATTTAGTTCCACCTTATAAAACTTTCAATTTTCTTAACTGTTTTACAACTGATTTCAGATTTAAGACACACATTCTTGAACAAAAGGGCAAAAGTTAATAAGCCTTTTTTACATACAGATTATCATTCAACTTTGGTAACTCTGTACATCTGTACATCTTTGTAAAGTTACAAACAGATTTTTTTCTAATAGTAGCTTGAATTCATGGAAAATATAGTCTTTCATGAGCAAGTCCAAAGTTTACATTCTTATCATTCACAAAAATCTATGTGCACTGAAGCCATTAATAGAGTATATAATTTAAAAGGGAAGAGGAAATTCCTGCTAGATATGATCTACAATTCTGCATCTCTCTTCCTCATTTTGGAATAAAACTTTAACAAATGACTTCAGGAAGCAGGTAGGCCAGAGTCTCTTGAGAAAACTTCAGATTAGAGATATTAACAGAGAGACAACTCAGATCACTTCGGGATCACCTTACAAACAAATTTATCTCTATCTGCTCTGAGCCTCTGCCCTATCATCTACTCCTATGTTCCTATCAACCTCTATCTACACGATAGCCTGTGGAAAAGTATGGCTCTACTTGCATTAGCACGGAAGAACACTTGGGTTGCCATGGTGGGCATCTAATTATTACACTGCCAGACAACAAAGTTACCAAAATAGGTGGAGAAGAGTGGCAGGGAAAAATGGCATATGATATGATATCTAAATATAAGTATTTCTACAAATTTACCACAGGCTTTTTAAAAATCCTGCACACTTGTGATGACTGGTTTTATCTATCAATCTGAGTGGGCCTCAGGACACTCAGATGCCTGGTTAAACATTATTTCTGTGAATGTCCTGAGAGTGTGTCTAGAAAAAAATAGTGTCTGATATGGTGAATTGATGAAAGCAGATCCCTGCCCCCCGCCTCCAAAATTTGGGTGGACACCACTCAGTCCATGGAGAGCCTGGACAGAAGGAAAAGATGGAGGAAGGTAGCAAGAGCGCTCTCCCCAGCTGTTTGAACTGGGACACTGATCTTCTCCTGCCTTTTAAAGCTCCTGGTTCTCAAGCCGGCAGATCTGAACTGGCATCTGCACCACTAGCTCTCCTGCTCTCAGGCTTTCCCGGGTCTCCAGCTTGCAGACAGCAGACTGTGGGACCTCTCAGTCTCCAGAACCGTGTGAGCCAACATCTCAGAAGAAATCTTTTTCTTTCTTTAGCTCCCTCTTTCTCTCTGTGTATGTTAAAATATACGTAAACACACAAAAAAACATATAAAAGTACATACTCTTAATGGCTCGGTTTCCTTGGAGAACCATAATAAAAAACACTTCTAGAAAAGAGTAAGTGGGTTGGAAGGAAGACTAAATTGTTACCATCAGAACTTCTCTAAATGGCACTGACATAGTGAATACAATGACTAATATAAAGGCTAAACCAGGGGCACCTGGGTGACTCAGTCAGTTAAGCTTCTGATTTCAGCTCAGGTCATGATCTCACAGTCATGAGAGACTGTGAGCCCGTATTGGGCTCTGTGCTGACAGCTCAGAGCCTGGAGCCTGCTTCGGATTCTGTCTGTCTCTCTGCCCCTCCCCTGCTCACGCTCTGTCTCTCTCAAGAATGAATAAATATTAAAAAAAAATTTAAGAAGAAATATTTTTATTATAGATTGTATACAATCAGACCTAGTAAAGTAGTACTCTTTTGCACTTTGCTGAATTCAGATAAAATTTCTTTCATGCTCTAATTGGTTTAGCCTTTATAAAAAAATTTTTTTTAATGTTTATTTTTGACAGAGAGAGAGCACGCGAGCAGGGGAGGGTCAGAGAGAGAGGGAGACACAGAATCTAAAGCAGGCTCCAGGCTCTGAACTGTGAGCACAGAGCCCAATGCAGGGCTTTAACTCACGAACTGTGAGATCATGACCTGAGCTGAAGTCAGACGCCCAACTGACTGAATCACCCACACACCCCTATAATAAAAATATTTCAAAGTGTGCTATTCAAAAGATTACAAAGCACCTTTCATCTAGGAAAAAAAAATGCTTTATTATAAAGTTATAATGAAAGAAAATTTCTAAGAAGCTAATTTAATCATTTAAGCCTTCAGCTTTCATATGGGATCACTACCATATTTCTTATACAAGTCTTAGCTGAAGCAAGTAGTCAAATTAATCTTCACACTCTAGTTGCTTTTAATCTATTTTATTTTATACATGATGTTCTTTGGGGTATGTCATGAGTTGTGGGGGTGGAATTAATGTACAAATTCCTTTTAATTAAAGAAAGATTAAAGCTGTTTAAATTAGCATTCAGTGACACTAAGATATTGCAGCAGTGCTGACTGATGCACATCTTAATCAGCACTACTACAACTTCTCAAGTAGTTTCCTAAAATTATCGCCATAGCAAATTTGTTTCAGAGGGGGGTGGGTATGAGAACTCCTTATCCTAGCGTACACTTTCTTACACTGAAAAGAAAAAATTCACCTACATATATATAGGTCAATTTCCAGGTTAACTGAACCTTAGCCCTCAGAGTATCAAAAATCTTAGAGGAGTTGGAAATCACTTTTTTTTAATTAGACACTCTCTGCCTTCTTACATACAGTATTTCAAATACAATTTAATGTCTTACTGGTTTTAGGATCATCCTTATGTACATACACAATTAAAAAAGATACCTCCCATAGAAACGTCCTAAGTATAGTGTCTTTGCACTAATGAAAAATTATTCTTCCTTGAGTTCTTCTGTCTGCTTTTGGTAATATTTGTCTCCTTCCTCACTATTAATGAGGTTGTATTCAATGTAAATATGCCTACACTTCATCTGTATCATTTATGAAGCCAAACAACTCAGTATGATAGAATTACCTACAAGAGTAAATTTACAGCTGCCCAGGTTACTTTGCCATGAGTAAAAAGGCAAGAAATTTGGTCCACTGCTCTATGAAAACTACACTGGCTTCTCACAAGGCCGGAGTTCTTAACAGGAACCGTGACTGTGTTTCAGATAACTTAAGTACTTGACTAGAAAGAATGGGGGATTAATAGAGACAAATGAAGATAGCAGTTTATACAGTTAGCTGGTCTGAGACTATGCTCTGAAAAAACTAAGCATTCACAAACTCCTAAGAATATGCATGAATTCCTATCTCAAAATTATCATCTGAGATTACAGGGTAATGCCTCCATTCCCCAAGACAATGGTCCTATTTCCTACAGTAAAATGGCAATGGGTCAGTGTGGTAGATGTATAAAGGTAAAAATGCTAGCCTGAAATAAAGACCTGGGTCTCTATTCCAGTCCAATATTTACTACTTGTACAACCTTGAGTCACTCTCTGAATCAATATAACCTTGCTCATAAAATTGGGATGATTTCTCCACTTCTTAGAAAGGCTGCTATTAGAGTCAAAAATCAAGTATGAGAGCATTCTCTAACCTGAAAAGCACTACTCTACCAATAGGTTTTCAATGATCCAATTTGAGGCTCATTATTTGAGGTGTAATAGATAGGATTAAATTTTACATTTTAAAGAGAAATCTGTGATTTTCCGTTTACTGTCACCAACAAAGCTGATGCCAAGATCCAAAAAGAGTTTACATCTTCCCCTAACATATAAAAGAAGCCAATAGGAATTCACACAGATACAAACAGTGAAGAAAATGTACCACATTTCAAGGCTCACTTAGGTTTTAATACACTAAATACCTAATTACCTTTTCCAAAACCTTTTCAAGCTCTATTAAAATAATCTGGAAACCATCCATTTCCACTATTCTCTACTGGGGAGTTACTCAGATGGTAGATAACTCAGAAACTTTTCCATTACTTATACTTATTTAAGGCTGACATTTAGAGAATCTGTTGGTCCTTTAAAGAAACAGCTCAAGTTCTCTTATCCCTTAAAATATTGATTCCTTATATTTTCTACCCCTTATCATTCCTTCCCCATGCAAACTGCAACTGCCCGTCCCAGCCTGTCTTTCTAACGCATACTTGGTAGGAAACACAGTTACCAAGAAAAGACAGTTAAGTTCTACATGGCCTAGATAATTATCTGCATGGCTTGCCCAAGACATCATATCAGTATTTTCCTTCACAAAGAAGGAAAGCTTTCCAAACAAAAGTTCCCAAACTTTCTCAGTTCACAGACTCCTTAACATCTTAGTCATTTTTTTTTACAAAGCACCCCTAGGCTCAAGAGAATAACTAACATTTCTATTTATCAAGTAGTTAGATCCAAACAATTTAATAACTATTTATATCCAAAGAAGTCAGCACCTGTTGGGCACTACACTACTTCTCAAACCTTGGAATCTAATTGGAAATCACCATTCTCATTTCCTGTCCTTCATCCATTTTCACACAGTACTTGCTGAATCACAAGGCCTAAAGTCCTGCTTTGCAAAACTAACTTCATCAGGACAGATGTGGCCATCTAATGCTGAAACTCTGAAATACTTCAGCTAGAACTTAGAGGGGTACCCTACAGAGTTCACGATCTCTCTAAAAAATTTAAAACAACCCACACTGCCCCACAAGTATGCTGTGACAACCCAGTGCTCTTCAGTGCAATCTGGGAATCACAGTCTTCTAAGTTTTCAGCCCAGTAGAACAATCCCTACAGAAACTAGTCCAAGTAGCCCACAGAGCTGTTATACACATCTAATAGGCTCATAAATTTAAATTTTAAATAAATGTATATAAATCTTTTTAAATTAGGATATCAGAGAACTTACCTAAATCAAAATCATACATACAATAGGTCATCAAAATGTCATGAAGCAAAATCAACCCTGGATTATCTTGGCCTTCATAAAACTTGTTTGTTCGATCTGTTCTGTTAACATCTTTTTCTGAGGAGGAAAATCATCATATATTTGAAAACCTTTCAAAAAACAGACTCTTATAAACCTTACATCTTAGAAAAACAAAATTCTTCTTGGTATTAATTTCACTCTCTTGCCAACCTTTTACTTAATGAAAAAAAATCATCAAATTCTATTTCAGATATGCAATAAAGTAAAATTTTGGAATATTTTTTCAAAAATCAGTCCACTTCCTCATGGTTATGTTTTCAAATATTTCTCAATTCTTATCTGAACATAGAAATTTTTTAATAGTAGGAAACACTCTTAATTAAAAGCAATACCAAGTAATAATTCACATTAGTTAGCAAGAAAAATGCGTCATGAATGTGATAGGCCATATTATTTGAAAATGGTAACAAAAAAAGCTCTTAGGCAATCAAATGTAATCAAAGAGATTTGTTTCATTCATTATCAACTTCTTTGTCATGTTCCATAATCATCTTCAGGATGAATGACTTCCTTATTCTCATATATACATTACTCTGTTTACATATTAGTACAAACAATATATATTAATTCTGAAAAACTGAAAACCTACATTTTGCTGGAAATAATCTGACACCGAAAACAGATTTGGAAAATTCACCATGGGCACATCCCAAACTGTACTGCCAATTCAATTCCCAAACACTGATATTAGTAAATGCAGCTAATTGTGAAAGGCTTTACAATTACAAAATTTCCCCAATTTAGGAAGAAGTAATTTACAGAAACTCAAAATGATTAGTTTATTCTATAATCAATTCTGTTTGAAAGTTGTATCTGACCTCTCCCTGCTGTACTCCACCCCATTAAACTGAATAAATTGAAAACATTGTCAATACAGATACTCCTGCTTTTCAGAAGTTTGCATTACATCACTTCACTTTTACAAACGACCTACATTAGTAACTGTTTTCACTAACCAAAAGAAATCCGAGGAGAATTTTCACTTTTCCAAAAAACATCCAGAAGCAAAAATAGCATTCAACAAGCTGCTACAGAGGCAGAATGCACCCTGGGCAGCCAGAGGGGTCCCGCCAAGCTCCTTCTCAGAGACCTACACTCAGCATCCATAGCTTTGAACTGTGTCTGCAGGCATCTATGCTTTATCTTAATTTATTTTGAGTATCTATTAGCAAGATGTATCCTAAGGTATCAAAAAAGTCTAAGAAGGGTTATTATTGGGATTTGAGAATCCTTAAGAAATCTTTCATATAAGCTAATAGTAATTGTTTCTTTGCTTTACACCATTTAGGCTTATGAAAGTTCTCATAGGACTGCTCTACTTTCAGATAGCTGGGTAAGCCTGTACTTGTGAAGAGCTGGGGAGGTATTTTATAACAGAGTAGAATCTAACAAATAGAAGATGACATGAGTGTATACTCTGTAAGGGCATTTTTAAAGAATATTAGAACAATATTATAGTTTTCTATTAAAATTCACTACACTAGATTTAATAAAATCAAGTATATATCTACAGGATTGTAGATCTGTTTGTCAAGCAAGTAAGGAAAAGCAATACCAAAGAAAGAATAATAAATGTAAAATTTCATTTAAAAACATCAAAATGGTTCATTCTCAAATCAATGTTGATAAACGGGTACATAAGTTTATTTTTTTATTGACTCCATCTAACACAATTTACATAGTCATAATGATTATATAGAATTATCTGCCTTAATAGGGGTTTTAAACGTGGTAAAAAAAATTTGTACGCTCATGATCCGTGTTTCTTCCCTCTTGTACATTTAGAAATGACATACCAGGAAGAAAACAAAAAGGGGTCAAAAGTAATATGTAAAAATATTTTATAAAGGAAGTACCATCAGAAACTAATTTTCTAGAAAGAAAATTAAGTTAAAAAATCCAACTCTCCATCTAACTTATTATAGCTAAAAAAGACTGAAGTAAAACATAAGCACGGCCAACAGATCCCAGTTTACATTTGCCATGACTAACCTCACGTGGGCCCTTGATGCTGCCTGGCACTCATGCTCTATTTTGTTCATCCGTTCCCAGTCCCCATTCATAGAACTACTTCACGTCTTTTCTGTCCTTAAGCTTCCAACATGTAATCTTCTCCTAACTCTAGCACTCAGATGAGGACCTTGTTTCCTATTTCCAAGTATCCAAGGAGAACTTCCAAAGGATTCCACTATTTTAACCACATAAACTGCATTTGTATTCATAGAGTCCCCTTCTCTCCTATCACTCATTCTAAATGAGCTTCCAAGAGAGTGACTAAGTCCAACCCCTCCTCTTGTGCATGAAATCCAAGGACACTGCTCTAGTAATTCTTGTCTCCCTCTCTAGTTTCATGAGTTTTTCTTACATAGCTTTCAACCATACTGTTGTTTCTCTCTTCATAAAAACCTTACTTAACCACACATTTCCCTCTAATGGCATCCTATCCTATTCTGTCTCCATCTGTTTCGAGCAAAACTTCTTGAAAGAGCTGTATATACTGTCTCCAAGTCCACTCCTCCCATTTCCTCCTAAACTCACTCCAATCAGGTTGTCACTTTCGCCACTTCACCAAAACTCCTCTCTAATCACAATCTCTACTGATCTCAAAACCTTGTGCAATGGTCAACGCAAGTCTTCATCTCACTTGACATCCTAGTCACTCCTTCTTGAAATACCTTTTTCACTTGACTTCTAGTCAAAACTCTCAGGTTTTCCCTCTTTTTTCTCTGGCTCTTTTCTCAGTCTCTTTTGCTGATTTCTCCTAGTTGTTCCTATTTATAAGTTAAAGTACTACCTGAGAGGGGCACCTGGGTGGCTCAATTGGTTAAGCATCTTACTTTGGGTCAGGTTATGATCACGGCTGGTGAGTCTGAGCCCTGCATCAGTCTCTGTGTGGACAGCTCAGAGCCTGGAGCCTGCTTTGGATTCTGTGTCTCCCTTCCTCTCTGGGTTTGTGCTCTCTCTCTCAAAAATAAGTAAAAACTTTTTAAAAATTAGAAAATAAATAAAATACTACCTCAGAGCTCAGTTTTTGGATCCCTCCTTTTCTAAAAACACCGCTCCTTTGGCAATGTCACCTAGTCCCCCACCATCTATATGCTGATGACCTTTAAATTTTTATCTCCAGCCCCTTTCTCACCCCTGAATTCTAGCCCTGTACATATACTTCCTACTCTATATATTAATATATCGTCATCCAAGAGGCAGTTTCACACCTAACATGTCCAAAACAGAGTTCCAAATATTCCCTTTTAAACTTGCTTCTCTCACAGTTTTCTATGTCTTAATTAAAAAAAAAAACCTAAAACTCCATTACTCTGGTTACTCACCTTAAAAACTTTGGAGTCCTTCTTGAGTCTTTGTTCCCCTCGTCTGTGTGTGTGTGTGTGTGTGTGTGTGTGTGTGTGTGTACGTGTCAAACTTTCAAAATACATACAGAAACCAACGCTGAGCTCTCCCATCCATTCACTGCATGCCACCCCTCCCATTCACTTCACTCTAGACATGGGTCTCCTCTTTGCTCTTCTTCAAACATATGAAGGTCCTGAGGCACAAACAAGTCTAGACCACACTGTTCCCCTCTGTCCACATGCCCTTTGTCCAGATAGCTGCATGGCACACACTCTCTGCTTCTTCAAGTCTCTATTCAAATCTCACTCAACTGCTAGCCCTCTGTATCAATCATCATCTCTTGCCTAAATTATAGCAATAGCCTCACCCTATTTCCACCCTTGCCACCTACAGCTATTGTCCAAACAACAGCCAGAGTGATTTGTTTAAAAGTCAGACCATAGCACTCTCCTGCTAAAAATCCTCCAGTGGCTCCCCATCACACTCAGAGGAAAAGCTTAAGTCTTTACAATGAACTACAAGGCTCTATGTGATCTGTACCTATTCCTCCAGTGTTTCCTTTCTGAATTTACTACTTTCTGTACTCTACTCCAGCTCATTCTAACCACACTTAACCTCCCTGCCGTACTTCAAACATGCAAAGAACCTGGGGTGAAAACTAGTCTAACACACACTATTCCTTTCTACTTGGACTGCCCTTCACCTAGATATTGGCATAGCTCACTCTTCCCCTTTTTCAAGTTTCTACTCAAGTATCACTTTTTCAACAAAAGCCTTCTCAGGTCACCTATGTTAAAACTGCAACATGACCTATAAACTTCCTAACCATCTTGCCTCCCTGATTTTCTGCTTAGCACTCATCACTAACATACCACATATGTTACTTACTTATCTTGTTTATTGTCTGTTCTTCCCCACAAGAAAAACAGCTCCCTGAGGGTATTTTGTTTGTTTTGTTCACTAATGAATACCCAGTGCCTAGCGGAGAGCCTAGTACCTAACAGGCACTAAGTAAATATTTACTGAATGAACAAATGTATGAATGTTTAAAATGTGATTTTCAAAAAGATCCCTAGTGATTTTAACATGCAGCCAGTTAGAAACCAATGCTGTAAAGATCAGGATTCCTGGTCCTTCTTATCTGTCTTGCTTCCTCTCCACCCCTAATCCTGGTGATTCATTCATTCCCAAGGATATTTACACTGATAATACTCAAATTTATATCTCCTACTCAGACTGTTTCAGATTATTCAACTAGCCTCTTGACATTCCATTTGTATATCTCACCATAAGGTATATAAATGATATCTAATTCAATTTCCCTATCCCCCATCCTCTTCACTGCCATACCATAAGTAGCACCACCAATTGGCCAATTTCTCTAGTCAAGAAATGTAGTCTCATCCTAAATTCTCTTTCTTCTTCATACCCCACTTCATGCCCCAGGAAGTCTTATTGATTCCATCACCAAAATATAAGTTGAACCCACTATTTATCTACTTTTCCACTACTACCATCTCTTACTTAAGATTTATTCCTACTCTACTAATTGGTCTCCCTGTTCCTACCCTTACCTTGATTTAATCTACTTTTCATGCAGCAGAAATACTGATTTTAAAATATAAATAAAATGGTCTTACTCAAAATACTCCAATAGTTTCTTCATATTTAAAATGAAATCCTATTGGCACTAACCATAAGATCTACAGCTTACCTGTGTATTTTTTAATAAAGTGAATTTATACCAATGAAAAAGAAAAAAACTTTTGGTAACTTTTCCCCAAAAAATACTTCTGAAAAAAACTACTTTGGGAAAAGAATGCTTTAAAACCAACTTATTATATATACTTCTACTGGTAGAAAATATGGTACAGTTGAAAGGCAACTGAATTAAGAATCAGATCTTAATGAATGAGTCTGGGCTATGGAACTAACTAGGTAGATGACTAAAGACAATTTACTAACATTTTCTGGGCTTCAATTTCGTTATCTGCTAAACTAAAATTGAAAAAATTGGATGAAAGTATGGCTCAATTCTTTTGATTTGAAACATCTATATTTTTCCTCTAAACTCCTTGAAGTGAGAATAAGACCCAAGAAAGACTGGGAAAATCAAAGCCATTATCACTATTCTCTGACTTTAAAAAAAAAAAAGAGAGAGAGAAGAAAAGAAAAAAAGGAAGATGACATAGCATGCAGAAAGAAAAGGCTTAAGGGGGTGCCTGGCTGGCTCAGTTGGGGAGAGCACACAAGTCTCGACCTCGAGAGGGGAGGAGTTTGAGCCCCACACTAGGTGAAGAGATTACTTATTTACTTATATTAATAAATACATACATACATACTTAAAAAAGAAAAAAGAAAAGAAAATTACTTAATCTGTAAGATCCCTTCCAGTTCAAATATTTTATGTTCAAGCAGGAAAAAACAGTCCATTACCATTTTTTCCTACTAAAAGTTAAAATAGCTGGGGACTTCAGTGGGAAACTTCAGATAATTCCATGCCTCAAGATTCCCCAACCTTTTGAGGTAACCAGAGGAAGGACATAGTTTATTCCAGTATAATTTGCTTTTCAGAAAAATAAATTTTTTTACAATCAAAAGTACTGGGGTACTAGGCTGGCTTAGTCAGAGGAGCATGCAATGCTTGACCTCAGGGTTGTGAGTTCCATCCCCATGTTGGGTGTATAGAGATTACTTACATGAATAAATAAAAATCTTATAATCAAAAGTACTAATACCAAAAAGATCTCATTTGTCTTTACGTCTTTACAAAAGCTACCAAATTGGTTATGTTGAGCTTTCTAACTATAATTTATAGAGATTTTCTTCGATTTTCTTCTTCCATGGGAAGGTGATGTTGACAATGGTGGTAAAAACACTCCCCATCTTTATTTATGAAGCTATAAATAAATCCAAAAGCAACACAGGAATTTAAAAAGTAAATGCCGGGGCGTCTAGGTGGCTCAGTCGGTTGAGTGTCCAACTTCAGCTAAGGTCACGATCTCACGGTTTGTGGGTTCAAGCCCCAAGTCGGGCTCTGTGCTAACAGCTCAGGGCCTGGAACTTGCTTCTGATCCTGTGTCTCCCTCTCTCTCTGCCCCTCCCCTACTCATGCTGTTTCTCTGTCTTAATAAACAAACGTTAGGAAAAAAAAAAGTAAATTCCACTACTATCCAAAGCTATCCTAAAATTATACAGAGGCTAGCTAACAAGAGAATTAAGAGTACTGAAACTGGGTTCTGCTCTTACTGAATCATGTGATCTTGGACAAGGCATTTAAACCTTCAATGGTTCAGTTTTCTGTAAAATGGAAATTATCAACTAAAACTTTAAGACATGTACAAGAGTAACTATGTATTCTTTCAACACTTTACACCAACCTGGCTTTTATCATAAGAGCTAGATGACCCACTACTCACTCTCTGGAAATAAGTCTAATTCCTTTGATGTAAAATTGTGTCAAGCACCTATTTTTTATGAAACATTTATTCCTAGATGAATACTTACTAAATTCTCAAATACAAAAATTTACTATCTGAAGTCATTCATTAAAAAAATGAACTGCTGCATTTTTAGAGATGGTCTGGAGGGACATAAACCAATGTCTATTAACTATAGTTATCTCTGCATGACAGAAACAAAACCAATCTTTTATTTTTTTATTTTTTGCTTATCTATAGTTTCTAATTTTTCTATAACAGACACAACAGTTTTTGTAATTAGGGAGACAATTTAATGAAATTAACTCAATAAGCAAAGTTAAACACTTTTTAAAATTCACATTTTGGAATTGAAAATGAAATATATCAGTACTTAATACTGACTGAATTCATATCCTATTAGAAAAGGAACAACCAAGAACATCAAATACACATTCTAATGTACTCTCCAATTCTGATTTCTCTTCTGAGCCCTAACTCTGTAACATATATTTCACTTCTTAAATCTTATCAAGACTTCAGTGTAAACCCCTCTTATGCATTTTCAAAATTAGGAAAAAATTACCGATAAGACTCCTATAATCTCTTAACCTTGAATTTCTCTTCTCTTGTTCCTCACTGACAGATTTCCACTGTAGCTTCATCCTGAAGTATTCATCACTACAGAAAACAATTTTATACCAAAAAAAGCTATTAGAATACTATATTTTGAAAAATTCTAATTGGGTTTTTGTATAAACAATGTATCAAACCATTTATGATGCTTGTTAGATGTGAGGTTATAAATGACAGTAAAATTTTTAAAGTTATAATACACTGAGTGAAAACAAAGGAAAAATAACCTTATACTTACCATTAACCTTGCTTAAGCTACTAGAATATTTAGGTATGATTTTAAGAAAATATTTACCTTAATCCTTAATATGATTCCTAAAATTATTCTAGTTATTAAATATTTTAACCACTGAAGTTTCTGAATAATTAAAAATACAAATCTATAAATTATTTTTTAATGTGACTTAAGAGTTCCATTTTTCAACTAGTTTATTACACAAACTTGTTAATGTGAAGTATCTTAGGAGGACTGGCAAAGGTGTTGAAAGAGAAAGGATTGTCTGAAAATTTAAATATGCACAGAAAGATTTAGAAAGATTCAGAGTGAGCTTTAAATCAAAGGCTAGACTGATAAGCTGGGAATAAGAAGGACACCTGGAAAGTTGGCCTCTGTTTCTTTTCAAGTCTGAGAAATTACTTAGAGAAACACTCTTCCAAAAAAATGAAAGATTAGTTTATGTTACAAGAGCACCAGGAAAATAAAGGTAATTAACGTATATAATAAACACACTTCTTATGGCCCATCTTTATAATTTCATAATAAATTTTAAAAAAGGATCAAGATGAATGTTTATTTAAAAATCCATATCTAATTAGTTATTTTTCAATTATGCAAAATGTTTTTACAAGGCAAGTAGAATTTTTTTTGTTGCCATCTTTCTATATTACCCACCAACACAACTGCAATGTTTGAAATGACTACTTTGAAATAACTAGTATGAAATAGCTCATAATTTTTCAATTAAAAAGCTGAAAATAAATTATTTTCCCATACCCTCATCTATTTCAAATAGTCATCTAGAAGCACTATACTAATTTTTATGAGTTATTTGAATTTCTTTGATGAACACACAAAAGATCTTACTTACGTTTTTTGTTTTTGTAATTGAATTCTTTCCTCTTTGGTACTGTCCCAAGGAAAATAACCCAGAAGAAATTTCCATGCCTGCTTTCTCAATGCATGACTAAGTCCCTAAAGAAAATATGCATATTAAACACATTCGTAAAAAGTATTCAATCCTTTAAGTTCACAAAACTTGCATATTTTGCATTCACAAAAATATACAGGAAGACTGATATTTAAGAGACAGTTTTAAATATAAAAATAGCTCAATTCAATTAATACTACACCTTGTTTCTGACTTCTACATTGTGACGATGTTAAGTAGTTGCCAGAAAGCTTAAACAATGCAGAGGACACAGTGTATTATATAGAAGGCAGGGGGACTGATTAGTCTTTCTAAGCCCAAACTTCACTAGATAAGGAAACTATCATTGGGGTACATACATGCCTCCTTCACATAACCCACAGAACTTCAAGTAAGGAAGACTATCTTTCCCTAGACTTAATGGTATCTTCCCCTACCCAACCCTCAGGGACATCAAAGGGACCTCACTCTGTCCTACAGGAATTTTAAGACATCATTCATCAAAAAGGAATTCATTTTCTGACTCCCCAAACACCTCCCACACAAAAAAAGTTAAATATCAGCAGTTTCAAATATCATCCCTATTAAGGTATTTACCCCTCTAAATATCATCTGCTTCACATTATCTACATTTAAAATTCTTCCTTCAGGATCAATGTTCTTAGTCCACTCTTCCAGGGATACTGGCTCTCTCCTCTGAACAACAGGTCGTTCTCCCAAATCAATCTAAAATAAGAAAATAAGCAATGAGGAGGATACTTTTTTAACCAGTGAAACAAAATCAATGTACATAAAAATTAAAATAAATACTATTTATTACTCAGGCAGGATTTCTAACATTTCTAATAACTTCTCTTATTTTCCCATGTTTAATTTATGAAGTGTAACAGCATTCCATACATTTTCCTTCCCACTAAACATACAAATAATGGGATTATAAATTCAGAGTACATTTGCTATTATGAGTTTCAATTACATAACTATAAAACATTCAACATGCAAATTCCATGAGACCCTTCAAATTAAATGGTATGCTCTATTATTTAAAAAGACAGTATTAATCCACTAATCATATTCTAAAATCAGCTTCTCTTCCAAACTAAAATTTGTAGCTCTCAGAAGTGATTCATGATCCATTAGCTCCACTTGGTGTTTTCTACACTTTTTTATTCAATTAACATATGTTGGTAATTTTAAAATGCCATCTGTAAGATAAGCCCTTTAAGTATTACAATTTATATATTTATAACATTCTAACTATGTACAACCTAAACTTGTAGCAAATTCAAAAGTCTTGTTGAGCATTTATAAAGATCTGCCATAGTTCTGGGCTAAGATCCATCTTACTTAAAAAAGAAAAGATTGATATGAGAATGAAAGCCTTAGAGTAGTGTCCTGACTGACTAACTCGGGCACCTACTGAGAAAAACATAAACTAGGAAGAAAATTAGGTACAATATGCAGGGTGCACTTTTCACTCACTGCTACAAACTCAATGAAACAACCTGTTCATCATTATCAAAAAGTAATCAAAGAAAGATCCAACTTAATTAACAGAAAGTGTAACCAGTAATTGACGAAGAACAACCCATGAGTTTGGTGGTAGAATAAGTACTAGTTGTTAGAATATATAATTTAGCAAAAAAGTTGTAAGAAAGAATTACGAGAAAGAGGCAGATATAACCAAAACTGAGTGTCTATTTCTAGCACTTCCAGTGCATGTTTCAAATGCATTTCTCCTGCTAGAATATAGAGCTATGCTCTTATAAATCTCCACTCACTCTTGTGATGACTTCAAATCCTGGTTCTTCTTGTTGATTTATCTTTAAACCTGGAATAGCGTCGCTAAGAAAATCTGCCATTTCTGATGGTGGTCGTTGATGTGTAGAGGGATCACTGCCTCTCAGACTATCAAAAATGTAGTTTGTGACTTTGGAAAATCCTACCATAGTTGCTGTATAAGGATCCTTTTTAATTTTCTATGTAGTAAGAAGAAAAACATTAGCATTATAAATTCAAATAAAGAATAAAAACACCTTCTGATGGGCAAAAGGACAAAGTTTTTTAAAGGGGGGGAATCACAACTAAAACAGTGTTCTAAGATTATTTTGAAATTTTTTTTTCTGGAAAGAAAAATTTATATTTTCTAAGGCAATTTTTCATTTGGTTAAGATAGTATATAAACTGCAAGTTAATGCTACTGATTGAATTGCAGATAAATGATTTGCAGGCTTATTCGAGCTGCATACATCAAAAATATACGCAGTGCTTACTTTCCACTGATGCATGGCCCACAACAGCTTTCTTCTGTCTAGCAGTCCTGCCTTCACAAAAAAAATATTGCTTGAAGTGTGCAGAACCACACTAGTCTAACAGAAAATATTCAATAGCTAAGTTTCAAAGTTCACAATATTTAAATATTAGCTGACATTTTAACCTAATTACAGTAAAACCTTGCTTTGAGAGCATAATTCATTCGGGAGGCAGGAAGCATGCTTGTAATCCAAAGCACTTATATAGCACAAATCAAATTCCACGAACCACTGGCTCAGTTGTGATCATGTGACATTTGGCATCATGTACTACTCCTATTGCATGACATAGCTCGTTTATCAAGTTAAAATCTATTAGAAATGTTTGCTTGTCTTGTGGAACACTCACAGAACAAGTAACTCCCAATCGAAGGTTTTACATAAGGTTAATAAATCATGCCAATGAGTATAATTTGTTCTGGACAGTGTTGCCCTGGAAAACAGCAAAAGGTTTTTGTATTGCTAGGGTTACTTCTAAATCCCAAACTGCCTGCTTATTCATATTTAGCAAAATCAGTTACTTTTTAAAGGTCTAACTTTTAAATGATTATTTTCACAATAAGAAAAACTTTTTTCACTTTCTACTTTAAGCAATGTCTAGCTGTCTTGTCCTCCCTCCTCAAAAGTTCTCTTTATCTTGTTATCTTCAGAACCAAGAAGAGACCATCTGTGACACAGTAAGCACTCAAACATTTGTTGGATGAATAAGTGAACAAATAACCATTTCATTAGTTTACACAGAAATTTTAGTAAAAAAAAAATTAGCTTTATTTCTGACTGGGCTAAGTGAATTCTTTTTAGCCAAATGTAAGAATATACTCAAATACTTTAAGGGGGATTAGATTATCATGACCCAAATGAATCCACTTAAATGGAAAATAAAAATTCAAACTATATTTTTAAGTTTATCATTAATGAATTCAAAGTGACTTACCTAGTAACCTTTCACCTGATTCAAACAGTGAAAGCTATAACAATAAAAATCTACTAATGTCCAATTTCAGAATTACAATAAAGGGGAAAATTGTCTCAATAGTAACTAAGAACCAAAGAAGTTTCTGACTATTAAAAATAACATACATATTATTTCTAAAAATTATGGAGAATAGGGGCACCAGGGTGGCTCAGTTGGTTAAGTGTCTGACTCCTGACAGCAGCTCAAGTCATGAACTCACGGCTCATGAGATCAGGCCTCATAATGGGCTCTGTGCTAAGAGCTCACAGCTTGCTTGGGATTCTCTCCCTCTCTCTGTCCCTCCCCTACTTGTGCTTACAAGCTCTCTCTCAAAGTAAATAAATAAAAACATTTTAAAAACTTACAAAGAATAGTTTCATAAAGTTTACACATAGAGAAGACACTTGCCCATTCTGTATAATCTCCAAGAAAGTGAGAGGTGGGAGGATATAAAATAACGAAATCAGAATAATAGAATACAAAATAGATTAAGAAACATACTTGTATTAAACCATACGCAGGTTCATCAAGAAGATTTTCAAATGACTGTGAAAGACTCTTATTCTGACAATTCACAAGAAGTGTTCTTTTATCCTGTGGAGATCTGCAATAAAAGAAGGGATCTGTAGAAAATACTAGCACACTGCATCAATTACTACCTGAATAATTATTAATGCCTAGTTACTTTTATCCCAAAACTCATATGTCCAGTTCTAGAACTGTTTCCCATTATACAACATTAGCAACTGCTTAGTAACTATCCTAAATGAGTTCCCAAACTATATGAAACATGAAATACTAGATTAACAAATATAAAAGGACTGAAGCATGTTTTTATTCTAGGTAAAGCCAAGAGGATTAAGTTGTAACAAACCCAAATTTTTGTTTATAATTATAACAGAAAACCCTTACAAATATATCTGCCTTTATTATCATAAAAAATATTTAATGTTAAAACATACTTTAGGATTCATCAGTATATTTAATATGTACAACACAGGAAAATGTCCTATTTGGAAAGGATTTCCAACTTCATTCCAGAGTGGTAGTATTGCAATGTAAGGTATTAAAAACACAAGATGAAGCAGATTAGTTATTTGTTAAAGATCATTAATTATGCTAACATAATTATAAACATACACATGAACATTTTTAACAAAGTTATAATGTACAGCTCAGGTACACTATGTCTTTAGTTCTTGCTTATTAAGCTCTAGAAGCAAGTTTTTCTTCACATTTCTTAATAACTACAAAATAAATGTTTCCCAAATAGGCATCTAATTTCAAGTAATCAAATGATTATCCAGTCTTTTTTCTATTCAGTAAGTTTTATAACTTAGTAAGTTAGCTATAATAAATCCACAACTTTTCTGTGTTTAAAATAAAACTTAAATGTGTTATGTTACTGCTATCTACTTCTAGTTTATTATAAATGTTTGAGATAAGAACTTTAATAACAGTTATCTCTTCCCAATTCTAACATAACAGGATGCAACAGCAATGCTAGAGGGGATATGAACTCCAACAGGATCTTATTTTTACACATTCAGAAACAACAGCTGTCTTCAGAGACAACAGTATTAATAAGCTCCTTGGCTTTTTAAGAAGCTGAGGTTGAGTCATTTGAGGCAGGAAAAAAATAATAACTTTTATTGTTATTATCCTTTAAAATGCTCAATTTTCATTAAATGTCATGCTTCTCAACACTTATTGGGATCATGCTTAATATGAAGACCTATATGTTCTCACAATGCATTTTTTAATGATAAGTCCTTTAAATGTAGCCTCAGAAAAAGTAACTAATACAGCAATATACTTTTTCCTGGCACAATGCAACTAGCACTATGGTTATTATTTTTTTCTAACAATAAATTAAGCCAAATTATTTCCTTAAAATCCAAATAAAAAATTATCATGAAAGTCAAAACATGACTATGCATGTAAAAAGGGAACAGATATGTAACCTTCACCTATCCAGCCTCAGAGAATTATACTATTGCTCCAGATTTAAAACTGTAATCAAGAAACTAGTGATGGGAAGAAGAAATGACTGCCCAACCAATACACAACCACAGATACTCTTAAAAAGAAAGGATTTCACTTTTTATACCCAATGTTCTGTGATGAGGGGCTGGGGAAAGTTCTGGAAGGAAAGCTAAGATTTAAGATTTGGTGGCCCTTAGCTAAGGAAATCAACAAAAACATTTTTTTAAAAGAACATTAGTCAAAGGACAAGTTGTATACTGCCAGGCAATTGCAGAACTCATCCAAAGGAGAGCTGGCATTCCAGAATATTGTTACATTTCCACCAGCCAGGTTATCACACTGATTTAATTTGGAAAGATCAAATATTATGATTTATATGTATATACTGTGGAAATATAATGGATTCTGAGAAGTTGGTATCTTATGACAACACTATTCAAGACTTTCAAACTCACTGCAGCAGCAAGACAAAACTTTTAATGATGTTAACATCAGCAATTCTATTAAAGCCTCCTAAAGGACTTAAAAACTATAGTCTAATATTACAACTATAGAAGCAGATCTACTATAAATTCAGAAGTATTTCCCAGGCTTTGGAATGAGCCTCTCCCAAAGGCCTCGGAATAAATTCTGAATTGATAACAGATGAAGAATGCTTTGTGTGCTGAGATGTGGGGGTAACTATTTCCCATTGCTACTGAGAATGACCATTATGGAAAGCTAAAGAAATAAATAAAAATATCATCGCAAAGGCTATCAGTCATAAAAGGTTAATAAAAATAAAAAGGTGCAGAATATTTACAACTATATACATGATATTCTTATTTATTTATACATATGTCTCAAAGGGAATAAATGAAAGTCTATAACCTAAGAGACTCTCTTAGGTGTTATACCATAAGAGACTCTCAAATACTGAGAACAAACTGAGGGTTGATGGGGGTGGGGAAGAGGGGAAAATGGGTGATGGGCATGGAGGAGGGCACTTGTTGAGATGAGCACTGGCTGTTATAAGGAAACCAACTTGACAAACTATATTAAATTTTTTAAATTGTTATATGATTTAAAAAGCCAATTTGGCTTTTTAGGGAATATTTTACTGCATGGATATTTATATATTAATGTAAAAATGTCCCAATATACAAATTAATTTTACTGGAACCTCTGTATCACAACGTTCATTCATATCCTAGCAAGGTAACATAAAGGTATTTGTGATTCATTCTTTACCTGAGTATCATGTTTTAAATGGTAATAAATTAAAGATCACTAACATCAATGGATGGTGCAATCTGTTTTTCCCCTGCAGATAAGAAAACCATCTGAGAAATACCAAGTCTCAAGAAGCTGGACTATTTTGCACTGATGTGAGAATGAAAGAAGGAACTGTGCATAGCCGAGCCTCATTCTCACTCTTACAAGGCTGCACATCCCCAGTGCATTCACAATTTCTGTTCATCCATATGGTAAGGACCTTAATTCATTAGGGGAAGTATTAGAAAGCTAAGATGCCCACAAATGCAAGCCACATTATTCAACTTAGGTTAAACAGTAAAAGAATACAGTCTGCTTCTGTCTGTTGGTTTTGAATTGAAAAGATGACAAGAAGGGTGACCCTGGCATAGCCTGCCTGACATCTCAGTGAGGCTGCAAAAACCAAAGTCTTCCAGAACTACTCTTCTTCCTTCTGGTCTCTACAACAATCTCTGACCACAAGAACATGATTCTAGGAATATTATTTTGCTTAAGATAACAGCTCTCAGGACAGGAAATAAGTCTGCGATGGCTGACAACTAGTAGAGTAAAAACCTCAGAATATTTGGGAATTTTCATTTCTTCAGGGTTCAACTTAATTGAGAATACCATTTATTTAATCATAACTAATAAAGAACAAGGATCTTTATTTAATATTTCCCTAAGAATCTGATAGAGATGACTTATACAAATATGGAATTCTTATAATATTAGTGACAGTTTATTTGCAGTATCTACATTCTACCACTTGGACTCAACATATAATCTCTGGTGAACTCTATGAAATAATATAATTGGGTATAATTTATGACAGGGAAGAGAATAAGAAGTGTTTATTTTTAACTTAGGATACAGAGAGGTCTTGGAGATAAACTATTTGATGTACTGTTCTTACACATTTCAGACCATTCAGGGGGCAAAGAATAAGTTAGCCCCCAGTGTCACAGAAGTACACAGTGGAGAAGTGGCTAGTATTAGGAGTATAGTTTTTGATGGATTCCCTTTAAGCTGTCTCTTCCCACCCTCCCACCCCCCCACCCCCAGAATGGCCACATCTCTGGATGACCATAAATTTAATAACAAAGCCCAAAAGGGAAAAAGAAAAGAAAGTATAGGTAGGTCAGTCTCCTCTGCTAGGTTTTTCTCTTTGACCAGGTCACTAAAGGTTGTGATTAATCATTGATGTTCACATCACATCCCTTTTTATCCTCCCCTTAATTTCATTCTCTCTCAAAGCTTCAATTACTACTGACACACAAAAAACTTACAAATTATCCTATTATATGCTCTCACAGTGCTACATCTCTCTTATTGGGAGCACTTATTACAGCTGAAATGTCACACTTATTTTTAAAAGTTATGTTTCTCTCACAATAGTACAAATTTCATGAAGGCTGGGGCCATATCTTTTTTGATTATTGCTCTTTCGAGCAGTTAGCAAAGTGTGTCCAGGACATAAGTGGTCCTCAAATAAAATTCGCTGAATGAAATGTATACGCGTGTGTGTGCGCGCACGCACGCACACACACACACACACACACAAAATATAGGGAGGAACACCATTCCCATGGCTTCATGTTTTCAAATGGAAATATGCACTTCTATTAAACAAACTCTCCTTCGCTAGAACATACCTGATTCCTGAGATCAGGAAAGAGTAAGGTGCATGCTTGACATATAACCCCTTCTAGGCGCTTTCTCTTGGATTTGCCTACCAACAGAGAAGGTGCTTTCTAGTCTGCTTTCACTCACATCATAAGTGGTCTGTCCTCACTATGGAGATGTGTAGTTGTCCAAAAATAACCGGATGACTTCAAAACTACTTTGGGGTGACTATTATGATGCTGCTTATCTAAGCCTCACCAATAATGATACTTTTACCAACATGTCTGATTCCTATATTTACTCTTCACTTTGTTTCCTTTTCTGTATTAGTAAAGAAGTTTCATTTACAACCCTCATCAAAATATCACCAACACACATTCACATACCCATACTCTTAAAAGCACCTAAGTAATTGTTCAGTCTCTCTTTGAACCCATCCAGGACAGAAAACTGTCTAACCCCTGAGCTACAACCTGTTACCTTCTAACTGCTCTCTGGAGGCATACAAAACAAATCTACAATATATTTCTTATAACCTTTTCAAAATTATTTGTAGAATTGGTAAGTACTGTGTCATTTATTCATTCAACTGAGATTTACTGTGCAAGTATTACATGCCAGCACTGTGGCTAGGAACTTAGGAGAAAATGTAAACAAAATAGATCCAATTCCTGCCTTTGTGGGTATACATTTTAGAGTAGAAGATTGAAAGAAGTAAACAGATAATATTACTCTATTCGATTAAGAGCTGAAGGAAGCAAACAAGGGAATGAGACAAAGAAAAAGAATAAGGGTGGGAAACTACATTACATGGGAGAGGGCACACCCAGAAAAGCTGCAATGAGGAAGTGACTTTATACTGAGACTTTAGGGATCAGAAAGGGAGAAGAATATTCCAAGCAAAAGAAAGACCATATATAAAGGACTCTAACACAAGAGTCTGGGGTGTTTCAGCAACAGAAAGAAAATCATATGGTTCCAATATAAAAGAGAATGGCATAAGATGAGGCTTAAGAGATAAACAGAGCCTGAGTAGCTCAGTCAGCAGAGCTCTTGATTTTGGCTTAGATCATGACTCAGGGTTGTGGGATGATGTGCACGGAGCATGGAGCCTAAGATTCTCTCTCCTCCACTCGCACACCCTCTCCCCCTCCCCCACTCATGTGCTCTATCAAAAATTTAGAAAAACAGTGAGAGATAAAGTTAATAAGGCAAGGCAGGACCTCACTGACCATTATTTTAAGAGGTTTGGATTTTATTTAATGTTGCATCAAAACTCCTCTTTTTCAAGTTAAATCCCTACATCCTACTAATGTTTTTCATAATACCACTTTGATCCCTCTCATTACATTAGTCATCTTTTCCATATAGTACAGTAGTCTAACACACTTAAAATGCAATGCTTAAGGACGCCTGGATGGCTCAATTAAGCACCTGATTCTTGGTTTTGACTCAGGTCATGATCCCAGAGTCATGGAATCAAGCCCTGTATCAGGCTCTACACTAAGCATGGAGCCTGCCTGGAATTCTCTCTCTCTCGCTCTCCCACTGCCCCTCCTCTGCATTTGCAAGTATGTGTGCACACCCTCTACATAGATAGATAGATAGATAGATAGATAGATAGATAGATAGATAGATAAAATGCTTAAAATCAATCCTAGTTCTCCAAAGTAAAGACCAGTAAAGAGTAGAGAGGAACTACCATTTCATCCTAAGTACTATGCTTTAATCAATGGTTTCAGATTGAATGAACTTTTAAGTGACAGTTACATCACAACACTGATTGATACAGGGCCTGCTATGGTACTAAAATCCCCAAGCCTTTAACACTTGCTATTCAACAGCCAAACCTTTTGCCCTGATCATGCCCCTCCTGAAATCTACTTATCAATAAGCCCCTGGGTGGTAACCTATTCATAGCTTCTTTCTTCAAGATTCAAGATCCACATACTGCCAACCAGGCCTGACTTTCTTATGGATATTGGTCTGATGGATATATTTAGTGCCAGTAAAAGATGGATCAACATGGTAGAGGAAAGAATTTCCTATCACAAAACACAATCAAACAATGAGAAAGAATGAAATCCTGCCATTTGCAGCAACATGGATGGAACTGGAGGGTATTATGCCAAGTGAAATAAGTCAGAGAAAGACAGGTATGTTCTCACTCATATGTGGAACTTGAGAAACTTCACCGAAGACCATGGAGGAAGGGAAGGGGAAAAAATAGTTACAGAGAGGGAAGAAGGCGAACCATAAGAGACTCTTAAATACAGAGAACAAACTGAGGGTTGGTGGGGAGGTGGCAGGGGCAGGGGGAAATGGGTGATGGACACTGAGGAGAAAACTTGTTGGGATGAGCACTGGGTGTTATATGTAAGCAATCAATCATGGGAATCTACCCCCAAAACCAAGAGCACACTGTACACACTGTAGGTGAGCCAACTTGACAATAAATGAGAATTTAAAAAAAAGAAAAGAAAAGAAAGAAAGAAAAAACACAGCCAAAACCTTACAACTTCTGGAACATTTTCAGATTTATATAATCTAAAATTAGGCATTATGTTACTCTCTTATATAAAATAACATTATAACAAGGTTAACAATCATCCCTACAGTTCCCCAAACAAAAAAATCTCAGCTTCTCTCTTCTTACCTCCACATATCCATCAATCACTAAATCAAACTCTATTTTTCTCCAATACTTCTATCTTCCTTGTCACTCTCCTAGTTCATACCACCATAATCTCATCTAAATGACTGGAACAATTGGCTAAAATGATTTTAGAAGATCCTTCATGCTCTGGACTTTACTCAGCTCTCTGGCCTCATCTTTAAATCTGGTACCTTCTGTTCCCCCACTATGTAGCCCTGTGATATTCGACTACTTTGCTCTGTGATTACATCATGTTTTATACATTTCCTTCTATCTAAAATCTCTCTCCTCCCTCTAATTATCTCCTTCCCCTCCGTCCTAACATTCACTCATCAGGTCTCAACACAGATGATGCTTCCTCCAGAAACCCTTCCCTGACCCCTATCCAACTAGTCTGAAAGAGGGACCCTTCCTCCCTTCCTGGAAGCTCCCAAAGTACCTTGTACTTCATCTTAGTTCTTGAGTTTTATTGCCATTTACTGGTTGGCATCCTTCACAAAACCACACGCTCTCAGATGTCTATGAAAAGCCTATTGTGTTCACTACTAATTATCAAGCAATCAGCACAGTCCTCAGAAATATAATAGATAACCAAAATATATTTGTTAGGAGAGAAGGCAAGAAAGAGTATGTGTGTACAAATGCACATAGGTGAATAAATAGAAGACAAAAGATTTTTGGAAAGTGAGAAAGCCCTGTCTTCCATACTTAAAATAATTTTATGAAGGCCTTAGGTTTGCCAGATTTAATTTACAAATAAAATTCTTAAACAGATATAATAAAATGTAAATTAGGTAAATATGTAATCTATAAGTTACTGATGCATCATTTAAATGTGTATAAAAAATACTGGACCACTCTTCTTTAGAACAGTAATAAGGTGATACATTGTAGACCCAAAGTACTAAAATAGCAAAATTTTATTCAATCATTCATCCAAAGCAGTCAATATCCCAGGAAGAACAAAGCTGCTTGAGCTCTCATCCGCACACAGGTCACTGATGCCCAATGACAAGTAAAAATTGTTTGCCCTGGGACCAATACAATAATCCAGTTTCAATAAGAAGAAAATATTTTGATACTTACTCACACAATACCACATATTTTTCAAGAGAGTCAATCAGTAGTTTGCTATCTCCTTGATGAAAGTGCAGAGCAGGGAGAACGACGTCATCTTTTAGACAGAATACCAAATACGACCAGCCCATACCCTCTTTGTTTTGCTTGATTGATTTCAGGTCTGTCAAACTGAACAGGAATGACCATTTGCTTTTCCCATTTCTATGACTTGGAGCATCTTAAAAACAAGAAAGTGGGGCAAAATATTTTTGTTCACCTTTTTAAAAGGTACTGACAGTGCTCTTCATGACTGCCTAACAGATATTTGCTGAACCTAGGGAATGACTATAGCATTCATATTACAGGCTTCTACCTGTATTAGAAATGGCAACATACATTTTCTTAAAAGACTAGTTTTTTAAATAATTATCTTATTTGCAGACAGAGTGAAAAAATGTTATCCCTATTTAAAGTATAAACTTTGCCCAAAAATGACTACGGCTTTGGAAGCAGGCAGGCTGGATTCAGAGTGCAGCTTTACCATCTTACTAACTGAATGATCTGGAGCAAATAATTGATTCTCTCTGAGACTTAGTTTCCATCTGTAAAATGGAGATAATTATACTTACCTCCCAATGTTATTCTAAGAATTAAAAGAGATAATACTTTTCAACTAACCACTGCAGGGCCAATTATACAGCAAATACTCAACAAATGTTAATCTTTTCTACTGTCCCCTCCCCCCAAATACAAATGGCATGATGCTCCTGGAGTTATTAAAAACCAAAAAAATCTTTACTTCCTCACTTCTTTTTGCAATTACTTTTACTAGACCTTACTAAGTGAAGGTAAGTTCACTGGTACAAAAAATAACATTGGAGTAAATATACAGACATTTTATTTGCAAAAACCCACAGAGCAGTGGAGAACTGAGGACGAAAATATAAGTTGTTAGTGCTTCAAAGAGAAGGAATACAGTGCTTGCTTCAGCAGCATATACACTGAAACTGGAACAACACAGAGAAGATTAGCATGGCCCTTGCACATGGATGACATGCAAACACAAGAAGCGTTCAACATTTAAAAAAAAAGAGAATGAATACATTCAATCTTCTTACTACATCAACCAAGACCTCAGTTCAACCCCAACTATAGTAACGTAAAATAAAACATCTTCTGAGTTTGTGGGCTACTTTACAGAAGCTTAAAATCCTAGGTTTGTGAACAATATAATAACAAGCAGCTTAATAAATACCTAAATAAAGATTTAAAGAACAGAAGGGGAAACTGTTTCCTCCTACTACTAATTTTTATCCAAAAATGCCATTTTGACCTGTTTTAACTCCAATATCAGCATGACGTGTCTCTGAAATTTTAAAACATTTCTCGAATGTTATTTCCCAAGATATGTTGCACTATCTTGTTATTCAAGATGTTAATTAATTCAATATCACACTATCAACTGCAAAAACATAAAACTGCACAGAAGATATGTGCTTATAGAACTTGATCAAGGGGTAGATCAGTGTTATCTGCACATATGTCACCTTCCTATATAGTCAGGGACACCATAGCTCCATCACCTCCAACAAGATCTCCTAAACGGACACAAAGAAATGTACAGCTCACGGAACCTCTATCTACAAGGATTACAGGCACCATCACTTTTTGAGGGACAGGTAAACAAGTATTATTTGAAAGGAAGTCCAGAGAGGCTAAGTAACCTAACTACACAGTGACCTGCCTAGGTTCCATACCAGTTCAGATGTTGAATTCATATCCAAGGCTGGTACTTGATTAAGTACCATGTGCCCCTTTGACTACTGTACATCTTATTTCACTGGAATTTATACCACAGAGTCATAATGTCACTCACTACAAGATAATATCAAAGTGAGAACAATTCTAAATTCCAATGTATTCCCAAATCATTTACATGCAAATGTGTCTAGACCACCTAGAAAGGATACATACTAATAGGCTATTTGCAAAGACCAAAAATGTTTTCAAAGCAATTAAAAACTAGAAATAGACAATTTTTTAAATTCTTAAATTACACAAAAATAATCTAAATTAATGCCAGAAAACCATGTATATTAATACATGCAAGCTATATGAATTATCAGGAGTTTGTGCATATTCAAAAGTAAAGTCTTTTACATAGATTTTCCCACATTGATGGAAAAAACACATCACATAGGAAATATGAAATACATATATAAAATGCCTCAAACATTTCCTCACTTGAAGCTCTGATAAACAATGGAAGAAACATCAAGCTTAGAAAATGTCTCCTTTAGAAAGTTCTGATGAAATATAATTGGATGAAATAATCTGGAAGAGGAAGGGATGGGATGGGACAGAATGCACGGTACTTCATAATTCGTGTGCCTGTGTATGCATAATGGGTCATACTTGGGTCCTATTAGGTTCAATATTATTCCTTACTGCTATACACAATCATTAATAGTTTTCAAATACTGGGGGGAAAAATAAAATATCTCCTTAACTTTTAATAACTGCTAAGTAAAGCCTCTTTACTTTAATAAGTCACAGTGTATGGCCAAGTCATATGAGCAGTATTTGCTAAACTCTGCAGCTACACACAAGTTCTCAATTCTGCACATTAAAATCATTGCAACAGCATTTGAAAAACAGATGCCCAGGCTCCGGCAGGATGAAATACAGACATTAGGGCTTTTTTAAAAAGCCTAACCTCCCTAGGTGATTTCAATGTGCAGCCAAAGTTGAAAACTACTAATCTAAAAAGATATTTACTGTCAGATTATGCTTTTCTCATACATGCAATGCTTCTTTCAGTTATGAAAATTCACTCTTTTGTTCATGAAAACCCATTCCTTTGTTCATTCCTGTCATTTTCAAGAATTCAACATTATTAGGTAACAACAAACAAAAAAAGATCAATTCACATAAATTAACTCTGAAGACCTAATCTACAGAAGTTAAAAATCACTTCACATGCCAAATATACTAAAATCCTATGGTATTGTTCTGGTAAGAATCTTCCCTTTTAGTAGAAAGAGAATGCCAAAAAGAAAAAAAAACCAGCAAAACACCAGCATTGAGCTGACTATAATTCACCAAAGGCTTGCAAATTACTATTAACTTCTTAATTACCACTGCTTCCAAGAAATGATACAGTACAATGGATAACTACTGTATATGAGAATGATTCCCCAGGCCATAGATGAAAATCAATTTCACTGAATAACAATGCTATATAAAGTATGTATTCCAGCCAATTGTGGCCAGCTTTTCTGAATCTGGCAAATGTGGATAAATCCTAAATTCAGACCAAAATCATTAAGAGATAAAATGTCCTCTAAGCCATAAAACACAAATTAATCACTAGGAAATAAAACACTTTAACTGTGTACAAGTATTCACTACTTTTAAAAGAATCACAATAGGCTGGCTCTATCATAGATGGGCTACCTAAATCATATTTGGGGTAGTATATGTGTTCTGTCAGGCTGTTCACTTTGCTCTTTTTTGTTATTCGCATGTAGATAATCATCACATAGCAACATAAATTTAAATATACATGTAATATAAAAGGACAATAGTCACTCAACATACATAAATAGGAAACTGTAATGAGCTGTGAAGATCTCAGTGAGCACTGAAATTAGAACAGTAAAATTTAGTGGTATACTCCATCTCCCCCTGGTGTTTTAGGATGAAATAACATGACTTTTTTTTTTATTCTTCTAGAAAAATGTGCATGAGAGACACCTAAAGCAATTTTTTAGTGTTCCTATTTTCTGCCATGAATACTACAAAACTGAACAAGTATCTTAAAGCCTTTTTTTAACAAAGCTACAACCAACAGAAGAGATATGAAGATGGAATATAATTAAAATAAGAGAATTAATGTATTAAAGCACCAAATCACCCTTGCAACAAAGGAATATTAAAGAATTTTCTTTGAACTTTTATTTCTATTATATTGTAGCAAATTAGTTTAAGATTTCAAAAGATTTAATTCATACCTCCATTGGTATGTTGTTTCTTTTTAAGTGGAACTGTATTGACCATGTCCCACTCTGCTTCATAACTGTTCAGATGTTCTGAACCCCGATAACCTTTTTCCTGTGGGGGCTGTGTCCATTCTACAACTGAACTGGAATCCTAAAAAAAAAAAAAAAAAAAGTTATAAAATATTTAGGAACTAAAACTAGAATTTAAATTCAATTAATAATATTTTCTCGGCTTCTACATAATCTATAGGTTGTGGCAGACATCACTGGTAGGAAAATTGATCACTATTTCCTATTCTTTTTTTCCTCTTGCTTATCTTTACCTGCCATCCACCCCATCCTCCCCCAAAAACAAGAAGAAAAAAAAAGAAAAGTCTGTCCAGACACCCCTATAGTTACTAGGGTTGCCAATGAAATAAAAGCAGAGATCAACTTCAGGGTTTCTGGCTTCTGGAAATTCTTTTGCTTTCCTAATAAAAGCCTCATCCCTTTTCCCCTTTTTCCTGCTCTGAGTGTAGCCAAGATCCCTAAAACTGTGGCAGCCATCTTATGACCATAAAAAGAAAAAAGAGGAGAATCACTCGAAGCCTCTAGATTTGCAGTTAAGCCACCATTAGTTGCTATTTCTCAATCAAAATTAGTTAAAAGCTATGAATAACAAATCTACATGTAAGGTTCTATAGAACTTAACATTTTAAAAGAGAATAAAACCAAAAGCCTGAAATTCAATATTAATAATGTAACTAAATCAAAAAATTTAATTTCTATACAATAAAAGATAGCACACATAACCAGGACTGAGTGAAAATGTTTCCAAAAATATACAGCAGACTAAAGAAAAACACCTAGAATACAATAACACCTACTAAGTTATTTAGAGATCAGCAATATCAAAACAAAAATATGCAGATGGTAGGAACAAGCAAGTCAAAGAAGAAATATGAAATAAACATACAGGAAGATGTCTAACTTCAGAAACTGAAGAAAAAGCAAGTTAAGATGAAGTTCAACATTTTGCCCCATTGAAGTTAGAAATAAAAATATGAAAGACAGTGTAAAAACATGGTATCTCACACTGCTGATGACTATGCTAATTAGTACTGATTCCAAAAGGACAGTAGAGCCATACTTATTAAGATTCAAACTATGCAGGGGCGCCTGGGTGGCTTAGTCGGTTAAGCGTCCGACTTTCGCTTAGGTCATGATCTCGCGGTTCGTGGGTTCGAGCCCCGTGTCGGGCTCTGTGCTGACTGCCAGCTCGGAGCCTGGAGCCAATTTCAGAGTCTGTATCTCCTTCCCTCTCTGACCCTCCCCTGCTCATGCTGTCTCTCTCTCTCTCTCCCCCCTAGAAATAAATTTAAAAATATTAAAAAAAAAAAAAAAAAAGATTCAAACTATGCATGTGTGTCACCCAAAAAATTCTCTTTACATCTTCCACTCTAGAGAAATACTAACGCATGTATACAAAGAGGCATATGCAAGAATTTTTACTGCAGCATTGTTTGTAAAAATGAAAAACTGAAAATATCCTAATATCCATCAGTGAAGGAATGAAGACACAAACTAGGGGGTAGCCAAGGAAATACTAGGCCACAGTTTAAAAACTAATATATGTTAAAAGTTGCAAAACAGGGGCGCCTGGGTGGCTTAGTCAGTTAGGCGTCCGACTTTCGCTTAGGTCCTGATCTCGCGGTTCGTGGGTTCGAGCCCCACGTCGGGCTCTGTGCTGACTGCCAGCTCAGAGCCTGGAGCCTATTTCAGAGTCTGTGTCTCCCTCTCTCTCTGACCCTCCCCTGCTCACGCTGTCTCTCTCTCTCTCCTAGAAAAAAAAAAAAAGTTGCAAAACAATGCTGTATAACAATATGCAGCGTATGCAATTAGCAATACAGAAAGAAAACTAGGTCTAGACAGATAATGAAATGTATACTGACAAAAGTCTAGAAAGATATACACTAAACAGGAACAGATGAGTGATAGAATTCTAGTCAAGCAGGATTTCAATTTCTATTGTCTGTTTCTATTATTCGAATATTTTTACAAGAATGTATTCAGGTAGTGCTAGTGTAATTCTTTTTAAAAAAGGGAAAGAGCAAAATTGGTAGGAACATAAAAATATTATAAAGGCACAAGAAAAATTAAGAAATAGAAACAGACTGAAAGAGAGGAAAACTGAATGAATGAAATGAAAATGGGGAAAGCTAAGAATCATCTGTAGAACCCCACCAGCACAAAGGTTTAGAATTACTAGATCAAGTACTTTTGGAAGTTAGGATAAAGGTCAAACTACAAAGAGGACTAACAATAGGTCAGAAAGCTAGAGGTATTTTATTCACTAAAGAAAGTACAACATATTATCTCTGGATTAGGAGAAACCAACCACACTGAATAAAGGGATAACACACTGAAAATGAGAATGAATTAAAAGTCTATTTATACAATGAACTGGTGACATTCCCAGCTTTCTTCCTCCACTCAGTTGCCAGAACACTGGAATCCAGGCTTACCCTTCCAGGTAGGAATCTGCAGGAATTTCAGGCAAATGACTAGCCCAAGTGAAAGGATCTAGTTTTAACATTAGAGATTCCCCAAGGAATTACTAAGCCTACATAAACCTACCTATACCTACAGAGTATAATCAATCACTTTTTTTGGTCTGCTGTTAAATCTAAGCACCACACCACAAAGATTACCAAACATCAAAGGTAAGTGTCTACACAAAAGGCAAAGTTCCAATGAAACAAGGGGGGAAAAAGTCAATTAAAAGTAGATTATAGAGAGAGATAAAAACAAAACTCCTTAGGAATAAGGAAAGATATATACACAAAGAACAGGATGTTATTTTTAAAAAAGACTGGAAATGGGGCACTTAAACAAGATGCCTTATAAATTAAAAACAAAGCAAAAATTAAAAAGGCAATAGAAGAACTAAAAAATAAAATTAAAGAAACTTCCTAGGAAACCGTACACACACACACACACACACACACACACACACACACACACACACAGAATTAAAAATAGGAAAGAAAGGATTAAAAAACTAGAGGACCAGTCCAGGTCTAAAGAGTTCTAGAAAGAAAGAAAACAGAAATTGGAGAGGAAGAAAAAAATCATCACTGAAATAATTCAACAACATTCCCTAAGAACTAAAAGACTAAGTTCCCATATTAAAAGAGTCCATCAAGTGCCCAAAACAATGAATATAAAGGACCACAATGGCATACTATGAGGATACCTAAAACACTAAAAACAAACAGGCAATCCTAAAAGTTTCTAAAATGAAAAAAACATACATGGATCAGAATTTAGAATGTAATGAGATCATGACCTGAGCCAAAGTCGGACGCTTAACCAACAGCCACCTAGCCACCCCTATTTTAAGAGAGGGAAATAGAGAGACAGAGAGCAAGTGGATTTCAGGTGGAGGGAGAGACAAAAAGAGAGGCAGAGAGAATCCCAAGCCGACTCCACACTCGGTGCAGAGCCCAATGCTGGGCTTGATCCCACATCTGTGAGATCATGACCGGGGTGGAAATCAAGAATCAGACACTTAATCAACTGAGTCACCCAGGCGTCCCTTCACTCCTAGGTTTTTAAGAGAAAAATATATGTCCAAACAGACACTTGGTTTTGAATGTTCACATGAGCATTATTTATATTTACCTAAAAATGGGGGGAAAAAAACTCCACACAAATATTCATCAACTAATGAATAAATAAAATGTAGTATAATCCCCCCACCCTGTATCTGTGGCTTCTCTTTTCCACAGTTTGTTACCTACAGTCTGTTACACACAGTCAACGATGGTCCAGAAGCACATGATCTTCCTTTTGACATATTACCAGAAGGTCAATAGTAGCCTAACACTACTTCACAATGCCTACATCATTTGCTTCACTTCAATTCATCACGTAGGCACTTTATCATTTCACATCATCACAAGAAGGGTGAGTACAGTACAATCAGGATTTTGAGAAAGACCACATTCACATAACTTATAGTATGTTGTTATTATCGTCATATTTTATTATTAGTTATTGGTGTTAATTGCTTACTGTGCCTACTTTATAAGTCAAACTTTATCATAGGTAATGTATGGAAAAAGCATAGTATGTACAAGGTTCAATACTATCTGTACTGATAGTACTCAGGCATTCACCAGGGGTCTCAGAACATATCCCCCATGGATAAGGGGGGATTACTGTATATCCATAAATGCAATGTTGTTCAGCAGAAAGGAGGGCAGGAAGGCAGGCAGGAAGGAAAGAGGGAAAGAAGGAAGGATGGACTGAGAGGTGCAGGAACATGGATAAACCTTCAAACATGTTAAGTCAAAGAAGCAAATCACAGGGCGCCTGGGTGGCTCAGTCGGTTAAGCATCCGACTTCAGCTCAGGTCATGATCTCACAGTTCATGGGTTTGAGCACCACGTTGGGCTCTGTACTGACAGCTAGCTCAGAGCCTGAAGCCTGTTTCAAATCTTTGTCTCCCTCTCTCTCTGACCCTCCCTTGCTCATACTGCCTCTCTCTCTCAGAAATAAATAAAACATTAAAAAAAAAAAGTCACAAAAGGCCACATACTGTATGATTCCATTTAGATGAAATATCCACAAAAGTTAAGTTCTTAGAGATGAAAAGTAGATTAGTGGTTGCAAGCAGGAATGACGGGTATACTAACTACTGAAAGGTACAGTTTCTTTTTTAGGAGTAATAAAAAGGTTCTAAAATTAGATACTGGTGATTGTTACACAACTCTGTAAATACATTTACACCACTGAATTATACACTTTAAAAGAGTAAATTTTATGGCATATGAATTATAGTTCAAAAAAAGTTATTTTAAAATGGCATTCCTTGGGGTGCCTGGGTGGCTCAGTTGAGTTAAGCATTCAATTTCAGTTCAGGTCATGATCTCATGGTTTGAATTCAAGCCTTGCATGAGGCTCTGTGCTGACAGCTCAGAACCTGAACCCTGCTTCAAATTCTGTGTCTCCCTCTCTCTCTGCCCCTCTCATGCTCACACTCTGGTTCTCTCTCTCAAAAATAAACATTCAAAAAAACAGTAACAAAAAAATAAAAATGGCATTCCTTGAGCTCCTGGGTGGCTCAGTTGGTAGAGCATCTGATTCTTGGTTTTGGCTCAGGTTTTGATCTCATGGTTTGTTGAGTTCAAGCCCACATTAGGCTGTGACAGCACAGAGCCTGCTTGGGATTTTCTCTCTCCCTCTCTCTGCCCCTCCCCTGATCGTACTCTCACATTCTCTCTTTCTCTCAAAAATTAATAAATAACCTTAAAAAAATTCTTAATAGCATTCCTTCCTTTAATCACACCTTTCCTTTCTTTCTTAAATACCTTTCCAGCGTAGAGAATACTAGAAGAATCTAAAGCATCATCCAATGGTCTCCAGTCCACTATTACTTCAGCATCCTAGAGAAAGAAATTATGGACTACAGTTACTATTCAGCAATTATCTTACACTCTTAGCCACCTATGTTTAATTCCCTCAACCTAAAATGAAATTTTTAAACCCCTAAATATTAGCATTTAAGTATGCAATATCATAAATAATTTTATAAATGTTATATAGATTTTCAAACTTATTATTCAGTATAAAAAATTTATATTAACTGTAACTTTTACATAAGTTTTATAATAATCCATGCCGTTTTACTGGCTATCTAAAGCTACATTTTTTTCTGGGATGCCTGGCTGGCTCAGTCAGGGGAGCACGAGACTCTTGATCTTGGAATAGTGAGGTCAAGCCCCACACTGGAAATAGAGATTACTTAAAATGTTTAAAAAAATTTTTTTAATAAAGTATTTTTTTCTAACATCATTTTCATGTTAAATTTACAACCACTGTTCAATTACATAATTTTACCTTACACATGAAATTTAAACTTACTGATAATGCCCCAACGATGAACATCTGCCATAAACAATTATAAATAAAATCATTTACTAGAAACCCACCTTTTCTAACACGCGTAATATTCCTGAAATCAAACTGTCTTGGTCATTGGTCTTTCCACAAGATGAGTGAATATAGACCCCTTCCTGTTCATATACAATCTGGAACAGCAAAAAAAAAAAAAAAAAAAAAGAATTAATCACACATTATTAAGTACTATTTCAACATTTAAAAAAAAAACAGATACTGTCCTATAATGCCTAAACCATATTTCTGATTATTACATATATTTAAAAAATACCATTCAGGCTTAAGAGCACTTCACACTAAGATAAACTGGAAGGAAGTTTGCTTTGTTATGAATGGAAGTTTGTTGATTTAGTGATAATCACAATCTTGATCTTCTCCATAAACAAAGATGTCCCACTAATTGTTATGCCTTTCAAGCGGATTCCACTTAAAATATATTTTTAACAAACATTAGGCAAGATATTGGGTTCAAAATGAAAAAGGATCTGAAAATACTCAAGAATAAGAACAGATGAAATGCAATAGGAGTCATTGCTTTCTAACTTCCTAGAATAGCACGTTTTACTCTAAGATCATTTCAGTGTGTTTTTGTAGCAAAGTGGCACAGAAATTCAGGGAATAATATGGGAATTTCAAAGAGTAATGATGAAGACCTTCTAGGAATGATTAAAGTAGTTAAAGCACACAAATATTTACTGAATATGTAAAAGACTATAGTCACATAAATATGACTAAAACATGGTCCCTAAAGGGACCCTGAAAGGAAACTGAATTCCTGAATAAACTGAACCATGCAAAGTTAAGCCTTATTTTTTTTTAAAGCATAAGGTTATAAACTAAGCTTCCATTCCTGCAACCCATTTTAAACCATTAAAAATTTTTTTCATTATGAAAATAAGTAAAATAAAACAATCACTTCTGGACCTAAATACTTTTGACATATATAAGTTTAGAACAGAGTGCGGTTTCCTCTCCACAATAGCTAAAACATGGAAAGAGCCTAAGTGTCCATCAACAGATGAATGGATCAAGAAGATGTGGTTTTTCTATACCATGGAATACTACATGGCAATGAGAAACAATGAAATCTGGCCATGTGTAGCAACATGGATGGACCTTGAGGGTGTGATGCTGAGCGAAATAAGTCAGGCAGAGAAGGACAAATATCATATGTTTGCACGTATAGGAGGATTAGGAGGAACTTGACGGAGGAACAAGGGGGAGAAGAAGGGCGGAAATGGTGGGGGAAAGGGAGAGAGGCAAACCATGAGAGACTCTTGAATGCTGACAAAAACTGAGGACTGATGGATGTGGGGGGGAGGGGGGGATGGGCATGGAGGAGGGCACTTTGGGGATGAGCACTGAGTGTTATGTAGAAACTAATTTGACAATAAACTATTTGTAAAAAAAAAAAAAAAAAAGAACAGAGTGCGGTTTCCATTTATGTAGACATTTTCTTTAATTCCAATATAATTAACATAGTTATACTAGTTTCAGGTGTACAATATAGTGATTCAACAATTCCAGGGCCACCTGGGTGGCTCAGTTGGTTAAGCGTCCGACTTCAGCTCAGGTCACGATCTCCCAGTTTGTGGGTTTGAGCCCCGCGTCAGGCTCTGTGCTGACAGCTAGCCCAGAGCCTGGAGCCTGTTTCAGATTCTGTGCCTCCCTCTCTCTCTGACCCTCCCCTGCTCACGCTCTCTCTCTCTCTCTCAGAAATAAATTTTTTAAAAAATTAAAAAAATAATAAAAAACAATTCCATACATACTCGGTACTCATCATGGTAAGTGTACTCAATCTCTTTCACCTATCTCACCTCTCCCCCAATCACTTGCCCTCTGATAGCCACCAGGTTGTTCTCTACATTTAAGAGTCTTGTTTTCTTTGTCCATTTGTTTCTTAAATTCCCCATGAATGAAATCATATGGTATTTGTCTTTCTCTGACTTATTTCACTTAGCATTATACTCTCTAGATCCATCCTTGTTGCAAATGGCAAGACTTCATTTTTTTATGGCTGAGTAATATTCCATTGTGTGTAGGGAGGGGTGTAAACCTCACCATCTTCATCCATTCATCTATCGATGAATACTTGGGCTGCTTTTATATTTTGATTATTGTAAATAATGCTGCAATAAACATAGGGGTGCATATATACCTTTTCAAATTAGCATTTTCATATTCTTTGGGTAAATACTCAGTAGTGGAATTACTGGATCATATGGTAATTCTATTTTTAAATTTTTTTTAATTATTTTTTTTAATTTCTAGGAGACAGAGAGAGAGAGACAGCGTGAGCAGGTGAGGGTCAGAGAGAGAGGGAGTCACAGACTGAAACAGGCTCCAGGCTCTGAGCTGGCAGTCAGCACAGAGCCCGACGCGGGGCTCTAACCCACGAACCTCGAGATCATGACCCAAGCGAAAGTCAGATGCTTAACTAAGCCACACAGGCGCCCCTATTTTTAAATTTTTGCAGAATCTCCATATTGTTTTCCACAGTGGCTACACTAGCTGGCATTCCCACCAACAGGGCATGAGGGTTCCTTTTTCTCCATAGCCTCACCAACACTTGTTGTTTCTTGTGTTTTTAATTTTAGCCATTCTGATAAGTGTGTGAGGTGGTATCTCACTGTGATTTTGACTTACATTTCCAGGATCATAAGTGACACTGAGCACCTTTTCATGTGTCTGCTAGTGACCTATATATATCTTCTTTAGAGAATGTTTGTTCATGTCTTCTGCCAATGTAACTGGATTATTTCGGGGTTTTTTGGTGTTGGGTTGCATAAGTTCTTTATATATTTTGGAAACTAATCCCTTCTCAGATAAATCATTTGCAGGTATGTTCTCCCATTCAGAGGGTTTCTTGTTTTGTTGATGGTTTCCTTTGTTGTGCAGAAGTTTTATGTTCTGATGTGATCCCAACAGTTTATTTTTGCTTTTGTTTCCCTTACTTTACGAGACGTATCTAGAAAGATGTTCATCCGAATTTAAAGAAATCACTGCCTATGCTTTCTTCTAGGGTTTGTATGGTTTCAGGTCTCATATTTAGGTCTTCAATCCATGGTAAAAGTAGTATTCCAGTTTCGTTCTTGTACTTGTAGCTCTCCAGTTTTCACAGCATCACTTGTTGAATAAAGTGATTTTTCCCATCACATAACTTTGCTTCCTCTGTTGAAGATTAACTGAACATCTAATCATAGATTTATTTCCAGGCTTTCTGTTCTGTTCCACCGATCTGTGTGTCTTTGTGCCAGTACCAAACTGTTTTGATTATAACAGTTTTGTGGTATATCTTGAAATCTGAGACTGTGATACCTTAAGTTTTGTTCTTTTTCAAGAATGCTTTGGCTATTTGGGATCTTTTATGGTTCCATACGAATTTTATGATTACTTATTCTAGTTCTGTGAAAAATACTGTTGATATTTTGATTGGGATTACATCAAATCTATAGACTGCTTTGGGTACTATGGACATTTTATACTTATGTAGAACTTTTATTAATATAACCACATCACTATTCAGAATAGCATGTGGACTAACAATGCAAGACAAGCATCATCACACACTAATTACAAATGTAAATGGGTATGGGGCATCTGGGTGACTCAGTCAGGTGACTCAGGCGATGCTCTCACAATTCATGAGTTCAAGCCCCATATGGGGGCTCTGCTGTTGGTGCAGAGCCCGCTGGGATCCTCTATTCCGTACCCCACCCCCACCCGCTCTCTCTCTGCCCCACACATGCGCACTCTCTCTCTCAAAAATAAACAAACTTAAAAAAATATAAATGGGAATGCATCCTGTTGTTTTTAGCTAACATTTATGGAACACTTATGCACCAGGATCTCTGCATATTATAGTTTAATCCCCACAACGCTAGACCTCACGCTCTATAACTGTATCCTACTACATCATTAGAATGAGAAGCCCATTTGTGTTAATGAGAAAACTGAAAAAGAGGTTAAATAACCTGCCTAAGGTTGATTACACAAATACTAAGGGATAGTTAAGGAGTAGTGTGGAAATTAAAATCCTGGCAGTCTAACACCGGAACTCTGTTCTTACTACTATATTTTAAAGCACCACATTACTTTTACTGCCTGTCCTGTGGTGTTAGTCACTTGTGATATGAATTTGTGTATTAGGAAAAGAGTCCTTTTTAGTTTAGTAATCAAGAACATGGAGAAATTCTAATTTCAAAAACCCAGACAGCTTGCAATGAAATAGCTGTTAAGCACCAGACCAGCATTAAGCAGAAGGCAAAGACTGGGGACAGTATGAGTTGAGGAGTGGTGGGAGACAATTCTGTATTCTTTGGATAAAAATAAAAACTTTCGAAGTACACAGATTTATTCACACATGTGCATAAAAAATATGTTTAAGACTATTCACAGTATTATTCCTGACATCAGGGGAGGTGAGGGAAGGAGGAAATAAGGAAGTTATGAATCTAAATATCCCACAAAGAGGGAAATGATCAAATATATCTTGGGATATTCATTCTACAGGGAATACTATGCAGCAGTTAAGAAAGAATATGGTACATTAAATGAACAGAAAGACACAGAAAAACTGCCAATTATATATAGTATATGACATCTGCATTTTTTTTTAAGTTTCTCTAAATCTCTAATACACATAACAAGTTCTGGAAAGATACACTTAAAGCTATGAACAGAGGTTACTTGTGAAAGAGAATGGGATGTGGAAATGCTGAAACAGAACTGTAACTGTGTATGTTAATGCCTCTAGCTGACTTGAATATTTTGATGTTAAAATATAGTTACACATTGCTTCAGTAATAAAAAAAAAATAATTTTAGTGAGTAAGGTAGAAAAAGGGAATTCCAGAAGTATAAGCTGTAACCTTTCCAGACTTCAGCTTATCAATTTTTAAAACAGGATGTTAAACTAGATAATTGTATCTGAGGCCACAAAATGGAAGTAGAAAAAGGTTAAGAGGGGGAAAAAAATCCCTTAAAATTTGGAGTTTTTGTGACAAATAGATCAAGGACATATCCCAAAACTACATGTTAGCATACTTTCACCTAAGACTCAGCTAATGAATCAAGAGCTACATAGTTCTCATAGTAGAAAAAGGGACAGTTATTTGCCCAGTAAAGCTTGG